CAAATAGTCAGGTCACGGTCCTCCCGTTGTTCATCGGTTTGCTCGAGCGGGCCCAGTAACGTTTCCATCATGAGACTTGTTGTTACTGTGTCTGGCATATCGAATACGTCACGGGGAGCTTGCCAGGCTCTGCCGTGCGGGCGAGATACTCTCGGTAGCTTGCCGGGCTCTCCGAGAGGGGCGGAGGAATCGAACTCGGGTCGGCCAGGTTGGCTGCGTGCAAGGCAAACGCCCTACCGCTGTGCTATCGCTCCATCTGACTTTATAACAATGTAGTTTCAGTGGCTATTAAAACAACAGATTTAGAATTCCATATAACGGATAAGATTAGAAAAACAGTTTTTATTCAGGAAGAAGAGTTCCTGGGGAAAATAACTGCTCATCAGACTAGTTGAAAATACTCTAGAAAATGAAAATATTGTCACCGAACAGTCCATTTATGTAGCTCACCAGCTGTGATCACTAAAATTATTTAGGGTAAAGGGTTTTTGTTATGTCTTTGTTTTCGTGCATTTCGGGAGGTCAAATATTGGGGGGTTCAGAGGCTCCTCCTGGCACTAGGCCTCAGGGGTCATACCTGGCAGTGCCGAGGGCTAGTTGTAGCTCTGTGTTAAGAGATGACTCCTGGAGGGGTTCTGGGACCATACACAATGCCAGGGACCAGACAGGGTCTTGCATCAAGGCAAGAGCACGACTGCACACTGCACCAATCCTCTGGCCCAAACCGCCACAGTTGTTATTTTGGGGCCACACACAGCGGTGCTCAGAATCACTCCTGGCAGTGCTCAAGGAACCCTTATGGAACGCTGGGGATTGAACCAGGGTTGGCTGCATGCAAGTTAAGTGCCTCAGCTGCAGTACTATCTCTCTGGGCCCCACCTGTATTTTTTAATGAATCGAACTAATGAACAGTATTGTGCTCTCTAGACTGAAAATAATTTGTTTTGTTTTTGTGTTGGGCTGGAGCAATAGCACAGCGGGTAGGGTGTTCGCCTTACAAGCGGCCAACATGGCCGACCCGAGTTCGATTCCTCCGCCCCTCTCGGAGAGCCCGGCAAGCTACCGAGAGTATTCGATATGCCAGACACAGTAACAACAAGGTCTCCAATGGAGACATTACTGGGCCCGCTCGAGCAAATCGACAATCAACGGGAGGGCCTTTACCTTTACCTTACCTTACCTATCTGAAAATAAAAAATCAACAAAAGCAAGATTCAGATTCTGTTTGGGTCTTTTTCATTTTTAACATAAAAGATCAGAAGGGCTAATGTTAAATGATGACAGGAATAAATGTTAGAGGAAAAAAGTGTTTAGCTCCTGAAAAAATTTCCTTGAAAATATGCATAAACCAAGTTTTACAGAACAGAAAACGATTAGTTCCACATAACTGACAACTGTCACTTTTCCCCCCGTGGCTGCTTTTCCTTTTCTCTTAAAATAGCTTAATAACTAGAGAGAGACAATACAGTGGGCAAGGCGCTTGCTTTGCACAGAACTGACCTGGGCTTGACCCCCGGCACCACATATGATCCCCCCATACTCTGGGAGCAGTGATCCCCAAGCAGAGCCTTGAGCAAGCCCCAGACATAGTCGGTATGGCCCCAAACCAGAAGCAAACCAAAAAAAGGTGAATACTGATTCAGGAGATAAATGCCTTCAATCTCATGTTTGAGAGATAACGGGGGAGGGGGGAGCACCTCAGGTTCTCAGGGGCTGCTCCAGCCCTACATTCAGGATTCAGGGGGTCACTCCTGGTGGTTCCTAGGACTGAGCCTAGGGTCAGCTACACACACAGCAACTCCCACAACCCCCCCTCGAGAATTTTAATAGCCAACCCAGAAATAAAATGTATACAAGGGGCGAGTGCAGGCGCCCTGGCACTGTACATGGTCCCCCAAGCACCGCCAGGGGGACCCTTAACCACAGAATCAGAAGAGCTGAGCTCCGCCAGTGTGGACCAAACCCTTCCCCCCAACAGCCTCTCCTCCCCCCAAACATGGTTTAAGAGCTTATAAAAATAAGAAAAAACTTTAAAAAGTTCTTTCTTTTAACAATATTATCATATAATTCTTGATAGACTCAGCATATTTTGTGTGTGTGTGTTGAGGGGTAACACACCTTGGTGCTATGCCAGGCATCGGACTGGGGCTCCCCGGGCAAGCATGCGCTCCTGCCCTTTGGCTCATAGGCCCAGCAAAAAGACTCGGTGTATGCCCAAGCACATCACCCTACTACACGCTGCCAATTTATACAAAAACAGTGCTCTGTGCACAAAGTAGATCCATTAAGATTCATATATTCCAGGGCTAGAAAAATGACATGGGTCTGGCCTCTTCGTATAATTAAATAATCTTTTTGTTTTCATTAACTACCAAATGCAGAACGGCCTCCTGAGAAGAAACAAGCTGCTCATGCAAATAAGACACCCCAAATGCATATCTCCACACAGCAGTTCGAAAAGGACCAGATGCATAACCAATGCTAAATATAAGCAAATATTCAATAATAGAACCACATGACACATTTCAAAAACTATTACTGAATGAGAACTTAAGAGGCTGAATTTCATTTCGAATGCCAGACCTTCTACAAAAATGATTAGGTATAATAAATAGAAAATACCAATGGGTAATCAAGTTATTTGTATTCTCTCTCGTTTATTCATTGGTGCATCTGAAATATACCTCTTGGTTGGCCAATACAAGGTCAGAAAAATAGATTTTCCTTCTGGCATCATGCCTGCTCGATAGTCTTCAAGCCAAAGCATCAGAAACGAATCTCTCTTGAGGGAAGAAATCTAAGTGAACTGGACCCTTCTGCTTATGCCATTTCTTGCTTCAAGCAGCTTCTCTTGAAGTCCAAGCTTGCTTTAAGCCACACCGGGCAAACGACAACCAGAACCTGATTATCTGCAGACAAAGTACGTCCCTAGAAACTAGACCTGCACATGTGTGGGCTCCAGAGATCAAACCTGGGACCTCGCAGGTGCCCAGTGCACTGAGCATTTGCTCTGCCATGAGCCACATCCCCTCCATCCCCTAACTTTCGAGTCTGGCATGGTCACTAGCTCTCAGTCACTCCGCACTGTCCCATACTTGGCTACCCCAGACGGGTCCCTGCGCCAGCAACATGGTGCCACCGAGATGCTGAGAGGCACCGAGAAGACCCTCAGTGATGTCCGAGTGTGAGCGGAAGGCCCTCAACCTACCAGGCCTTCACCAGCAGGCAAGAGAGCGTGGAGAACAAGGCCCCTCAACTGTCCGAGAGGTAACACTGCTCTTTCTGACTCAGACACACCCCTATCAGAGAGGATTGCTTCAGAGATCAAAAACATGACAGTTGTTAATGCTTTTTGTAAATTACAAAGCACTCTACAAATGCAGGGCACTATGGTTAGGTAACTACTGCTTAATTACACCTGTCCTCAGCCCACTCTCAGACATCCGAGGCATCTTCTTGGATTCCGTACATTATTGAGATGAAAGGCTCCCTCATGTGTCCCCAGCCTTTCAAGCCCTAATCACACCATGGCTAAACATTTGTGTTTTCATTAAAACCAAATGCCAAGAAGCCTTCCTAGAGAGACTCTACACTGCCATTATCTTGCCCCAAACACTTATTTATTCCCACAGTGCATTCTTTTGGGGGATTTCCTATAATTTCCCAAATAACAAACTGTTTCATTAACCTACTGCCCAGCCTGACGAGCAAACTGCCCCGGAGAAGGCTGTGTTGACTTTAGCTCTCGCTTTTTGCTCTGTGGGCTGAAGTTTCTCTTCTCCAGACCACAGAGCTCTACGATAGCTCTACACTTCCCAGGCTGTACTTTACACGCTCTCTTTCATCTCAGGGAAGAGAACTAGTACCCCAGCTTTCTCCCCAGTCCCCTCATTCTTAACAGCCCTTGGATCCTGGGGGGCTGGGGAGGAGACAGTGCAGCAGGGAGGGTGCTTGTCCTCCAGGCAGCAGACCTGGGAGGGGTCCCCGGCACCCTACAGGGTTCCCCACGCTCCTCCAGGAGAGATCCCTGAGCACAGAGCCAAGAGTAAGCCCTGAGCATCGCTTGGTGTGACCTATCCACCTTACCACACACAAAAAAAAATTTTTAAAAATCCCTGGATCTTAAAATATTTAAAAAATTTTACCTAAAGATTCAAGGTTTGCTAAGCCTTCATCTTACAAATCAGGCATGCATTATGACGTTTCTTAATTGTTTAATCAAGATTGGACAGCTTTAAAAATGAAAATCTAACAGATCGACTTATCGACTTATTATATTTACTATACTAAATGAGATTCCATCTCTAACAAACCTAGTCAATCAAGAAACATGGTAAAATGCGAAGGCCGTTGGCATCATGAGGCCATCATGTGACCTTTAAAGTGATTTTTCAGCTCTTCACCCAGTCCCCACCAGCCCAGAGGAACGAGCGTCTCTCTCCAGCCCGGGGCCTGCTCTGACTGTCCCACGTGGCCCTGAGCCCTGATTGAGAATCCAGACTCCATGCAAGGGGACAGAGAAGGATTAACACATGCAACTGTGCAGCAACGACTTTTAGACACAGTTTAACTGAAAAAACAAAAACAAAAAACCCCAGTGAGCCCAGGAGCGGAGAATTAGTACTATCAAGTGATCAGAGACAAAACCAAGGCAAAATACCCACCAGCTTCAATTTTCAGGGAATTATTGAAAAACCAACCACTGATGCAGATTCAAAAATGCAAGAGGCACAGACAACCAGAGCACTCCCATTCTTTCTCCGAGAGCACTTGGGCTTGAGCGGAGAGGTGATTCTGGACACAACCGTGCCTTTCTGGAAAGTTCTCCCGACTCCAGCTATGGCAGCCGGGAGCTCATTCTGCACTCAGGACCCAAAGACCAGGATTTGCTTTCCGGGAGCTGCGGAAGCAGCTGGGACCAGTGGTCATCTGGGGACACAGAAAGGGAGGTGGCCGCACACTTAGCCCTACCCCTACCAGCACTCAAGATGGATCCCTACCAGTCTCTGCTGCTCCAGGAGAAGGTCTGCTTCTTCCTTCTCCTTTTTGTAGAGGATCTCCATCTCCTGAAGCCTGGAAAGAAGGGAAAGCAGGCATGCGAGAGTGAATTGGGAGGTCACGGGGCAGAGCAGTCAGCTCCACGACCCGCTGCGGAGGGGCGACGGCCGCAGTGCTTTCCACACGGTACCTTTTCTCCATCTCCTGCTTCATGTCGATTCCTTGTTTCTCCAGAAGCTCTCGCTGAGCAAAGGTCCAATCCACAGGCTCGGATGGGGTCTCGGCAGAAGGAGTCTTTTCCCGCTCAGCCCGCGCTTGCTCCGGGTGGTTAAAACGGAACACGTGGTTTTTACCCATGATGATCCGGTTTCCTGGTGCCGGAGAGAAACAAGGCTTAGAAGTCACCCTGGAAGGAACTGCCCTGCGGCCTACGGACTCTAACTTCTAGTCTAGAATCTGCATCCTAATGCTATCACTGCAGCTTCAGTTGGTTTATTTTTGGGGGGGTGGGAGGGAGGTGGAGAGGTGCTGTCACACCCAGAGGTGCTCAGGGGTTACTCCTGGTTCTGCACTCCGAAATCACTCCTGGCACTGCTCCGGGGACCATAAGGGACCATAAGGGATGCCGGGGATGGAGCTCAGTCAGACTCACACAAGGCAAGTGTGCTTCCAAAGGGAACTATGGCTCCAGCCCCACAAAGACACATGGGAGGTGCTCCCGGGAGCTGGGTGAGACGAGACTGCCAGCCTCTTGCAACCTCACCTGAGCGCAGCTGGACGGGCTGGGCCACCCTCTTGCCATTGACGTAGGTCTCAGAGCGCTCACAGGGTTCGAGCGTTACGATCACTGCCCAAAGAGAAAAATAAAAAACAAACTACTATTAGCATCACAGACAACCTACGGAGTCCAGATCTACACAAAGGGTTTGTAAAGCCACCGAGAGGTAGCTTTGATCTACGTGACAGTTCATTTCAGAGCACCAGAACCAGTCCAGTATGATCGACAAACGTGGCCAAAGAGAAACTGAAGATCCAGCGCTAATACTCGGGTCATAGAAATACTCATCCGAATCACAGGAGTGCCACTAGATTCCCGCCTGGTAGCGAGCCCAGGAGAAATTGGGCTTTTCCCTCCTGTGAAGGAATCCTCCAGAGGCCGCCCCAGCAGAGGTCCCTCCAGGCCTCCCGCTACTCATCTGCTCCCTTAGTCCACTCAAGTCATTAACATTCCAGACCCAGCCGGACTCACCAGCCCCAAAGGGGCCCCTTTTGTAGGGGCTATTTTCATGGAAAGCAGCTCTGCGTGCATTCAGAAGCAGCCCCAGCCTCTGTTTCCCACTGTGGGACAGGGCAAGAGTGAGTGTCGGGAGGGTCGGTTGGGGAATACCGGGCCGGGAAGGTGCCGGGGCAGCCGGCCGCACTCACCGTCGCCACCGCCGCCGCGCTCGCTCCGGAAGATACAATGCTCTTCTTTAATGTGGGCCCCACTCAGCACAATGTCCTGGCGCCGCTCAGCGTCTGCTTGGCCAACCCTGAACACAAGGCAGAGTGTTTCCCAGGGAAATGCAGGCTACAAACAAAACGCTGCCAACAATGGGCCTCTTTCTCCCAAAGAATATTCTCTGGGACATAGAAAAAAAGGCATCGCCTTTTGGGTTTTGTGTTTTGTCCTTTTTTTCCTCTAGAGGCTTTCAACTGCAAATTCTATTTTCACATACAATCAACCTCCCTCCAGAATAAGAAACCAAGGGGCTATGATACACTGTGTTAACTCACTCGGCATTATAAACTGCTCTTGCGCGTGCGCGTGCGCGCGCGCGCGCACACACACACACACATTATTATAAACGACACACACACACACACACACACACACACACACACACACACCCCTAGATTAGGCTTCTTGTGTAGAAAGGAAATTTCTATGTGAATCTTCTAGGGAAAAACTACAAACTGAGTGGGTTAGCTAGACCGATAGTGTAGTTAGATCAATCACATCACTTGGAAATGGTGGAGAGGAGAGTTTATAATGGTTTCAAGTGAGGAATCAAACGAATCACTTGCTAGAAATTTTTCGACAAACAACTTTGCTCTAATTACGTAATCACTGAAGATGAAGACAGGAAGGGGCCGAAACAGAAAGCAGGGTACCTTGTGATTCCATCTTTGATGTAATAAAGCAGGCATTCTGACATCAGCGGGTCCTCGTTGAGATTGACGAGATGCGGGGTCTGCAAAAGGTCATGGGAAAGCAACTAGGTTACCACGGGCAAAACTGTGACAGCGTTCGGCGCGTGCAGAGCAGGGAAGCTTCCAGATTTCCCACAGTGCCAACAAGAGGCTCTCTCCCCAGCTGCCCACTGCACGGATGCATTCTCTTTAAAACCTGGGGGCTGGGAGAAAAGACCCAGATCTTTTCTTTGGAGGGGGAGTTACACCCAACAATGGTTTCTTATTCAGGGCTTTCTTCTGGCTCTTGCATGGACTCAGGGGTCATTCCTGGTGGTATTCGGGGAACCATATGGGATGGAGGGGACTGAACCTGGGTGGGCAGTGTGTAAGGCAAATGCCCTCTCTGCTGGACTGTTGCTCCAGCCCCCAGAAGAACCCGATCTCGACAGGACCTAAGCATGGACAGCAAACCAAAGAAACCCAACCTGTGACACGCTTAAATGATAATTTTTGTATGGGTTTGGGCAAAAATCTTGAGGGGCAATATAATGGGTCAATGGGAAATAGGCCACTTGGACTTTTTTTTTTTTTTTTTGAGCTGCAGGTGTGTTTAAGCCCAAAATGGAGAGGTTTTTCTCCCTTCACTTTGGCTCAACTGGGAAGGAGCTCGCGGATTCTCCATTCTCTCCTGAGAGTCTGGCGGGCAGGACCCGGACATTCCTCCTGCGGGTCCCCTAGTCCCCACCTCGCACCCCCCTAGATGGTGTCTGGATCCCAGTCACCCCCATGGGTGCCCACCCCCGCCCCCCGGGTCCCCGTGTCTCGCCCAGGTGTGTGTGTGAAGCTCCCCTCCGTTTGCCCTCTGCTACTTGGCTGAGTCTAGCCCCAGAACGGACATCTGAGCACCACCACAGGCCCCAAGTAGTTCCACAACAAGCACAGCTGGACGGGGATGGTCAGGAGTGGCCCCGGGCCCCAGAACACCTCCTGGCAGCCTCTGTGATTTTTTCTCCCCTACAATCTCAAAAGTATTTACCTTCAATTACTTTACAAAAATGTTCCTACACCCCTATCACTTCTTGCTATCATTTTTATCAGAGCATCCTTGGTTACAATTATTGACTATTTTTTGTTTGCTTTGTTTGGGGGCCACAGCTGGCTGTGCTCAGGGGTTACTCCTGGCTCTGCACTCAGGGATCACTCCTGGTGGGGCTCAGGAGACCATATGGGGTCCCGGGGACCAAACCTAGGTCAGATGCGTGCAAGGCAAGTGCCCTCCGCACTGTGGCTCCATCTCTTTGGCCCCACCTTGACTGTGGGGAGTGATCCTTGAGTGCACCAAATCTCTGACTGGACAGACAGCTCAGTGGACCACGCGCGTGCTTTGCATGCAGGGAGCTGAGTTCATGCCAGAGCATCAACTCCAGCAGCCCGAGCACCACAGAATGCAGGGCAAAAACCCAAACAAACCCCCCACACTTGTCCTGGTAGTTCTTGATCCTTAAAATACCCTCACGTATGTGCAAAGGCACAAATGAAGCCTATCAAACCCTTAACAGCTCTGCAGCCTGGAAAAACTCTATGACCTCCAGCATCTGTGGGCTGCAGAGATGCCGGAAGGGCTGGAATGCACGGCTCGCTCCACCAGGATAGTGACGACTGGCACAGCGCCCGTGGGGGGTGCCCGGCATGGCTCGCTCCATCAGGGGCCCCAGCACTGACCCCGGGCACAGCACCCACAGGGGTGCCCTGCGCTGCGGGAGGAGCCACCCGGAAGTACAGGCTCCTGGGCAGGGTGAGATCGGAAGAGGAAGCCGAGCACTGGGAGAGGACAGGCATCACTGAGCTGCTATCGGAAGCCGTACCCCGTGGCTGGGTCAAGCCGAGGGGAGCAGGGTGGAAGCGTCTCGGTGGCTGGAACCTGGACCACCTACCTTCTTAGGTGAGAAGACCCCCAGCGTCCCTCCGTCTTCCCGGATGGCCACGCCCATCTCGGCCAGCAGGGCCTCCCTGGGGAAAAGCATCAAGGCCACAGCGTGAACCAGACCACGAGAAAGAAGCGGCCACGGTTATACACATGGAGACAACTAGGGCTTGTCATATACACAGACACAACCCAGTCCACTGAGGTGTGGCCCCGGTCCCTGCTGCAAAGTCATTACTGAAACGTGACGGAATCTGCGCCCACCGTCCTTAGGGCTTTCTGAGAAGCCCCAGCAGGGCAGGGGTCCGGCCCGGCCTCTCTGGGGCCCGGCTAGCTGCACCACTGTTTCAGTTCTCTGACATTCCGTTTCTGTCTTTCCTGCTTACTATCTCCCGGTCCTGCTTTCTGTTTCCCTGACCCCGGGGCCAGAAGCCAGATCAGCGTGTGCAGACCGGTGCCTCGGCTGCCCTCCTGCCCCTTCTCAGGCAAGCTTTCTCAAACTGAAAACTCTCCCCCACTCAAATTCAGCATTCCCTTTTTTTTTTTTTATTTTTTGCTTTTTGGGTCACACCTGGCGATGCACAGGGGTTACTCCTGGCTCTGCACTCAGGAATTAGCCCTGGCGGTGCTCAGGGGACCCTATGGGATGCTGGGAATCGAACCCGGGTCGGCCGCGTGCAAGGCAAAAGCCCTGCCCGCTGTGCTCTCTCTCCAGCCCCCAGCATTCCCTATTACAGAAAACCAACAGCCTTCCTTTCTCATAAGGATCCTTAGCATGAGCAGGACAGGAGCTGAGCACAGGCTCCCTGGAGAAACATGAATGTGCATTTCCTCTTAAAGTAAAAGTCCCATATGCCCCAGTGAGAATTATTTTCATTTTCTTTCCGTGGGGGATTGCGGGGAGAGGCTGGCCCACACCTGGCGGTGCTCTGGAGTGACCCCTTAATGGGGCTGGGGACAGCACGACAGGCCAGACTCAACCTGGGGTTGAGGAGTGCCGGGCAAGGGCGTAGCCTCTCCGATCTCTCCTGTTTATTTTGGGGGGAACGGTTCTTTGCTTTAAACTCCTATTTCCTTGCTGCCCACCATGAACATAATCCAGATTCCCTAGAAATGTTAGAATATTCCCAGAGTCGAGCGCCCTCCCCTCCCTGCCCTGGGGTTCAGCCCCTCCCCCCCATCTGCTCCAGACCCCACCCCCACCCGCCCCATCCTGCCCAGCCACGCCCTCACCTCTCCATCCTGATGGCTTCAGTTTTCCGTAGCTTTTCCTCCCAGGTTTCATTCAACTCAGCGATGATCTTCTCGGATTCCTGAGGGAGAAAGCGAGGCAGCTCAGGAGCGCAAGAGTTTCAGGGCTTTCCCACAGTGCCCGAGGGCAGGGAGATACGCGCATTTGAGTGTGATTTCCGCTCCTTCTCTTTTAAAAGTTAAGGGCCACTCCTGGCAGTACTGGGGACCTGCGGCACCCCAGGCAGGGCCTGGTCAGACCACGGGAGGGGCCGCTGGAGGCCTGGGAGCTGGAGCAGCTAGTCACTCCAGGGCATCATTTGTGCACCCTCCGGCCCTCGACCGCCACCCAGCAAATGCCAGGGTGAACACTCCGGATCTTCGTCTCCTCCTGAAAGCCCCATGTTACGTTAAACTTGCCAGCTTTCCCCGTCATAATTGGAGTGACCTGCCCTTTGCTAGAGGGACCACCCTGGCAGGGGCCGAAGCCAGAAGAAAGGTGTTTTCATTCACGGTGTGTATGGATCCCACCCGTGCCTGAGAGCCGCCGAGGCCACAATTTCCCCATCACTGGCCGAAACGCAAGAACTAAAACCTACTTCCTGCTTTCAAGGGCTACCGGCATGCCGGGGAGAGGAGTTCTGGTGACAAGGAACTACAGGTGACAACTCCTGACGCCACGCGTGTGCGAGGAGCTGGGGATGGGACAGGTGACAGGGAACAGGACGTCTGCCTGGGTCTCGAGGGAGAAACAACACGTGACTCACACCGCACGCCGTGGGCGGCCAGCGCTGAGTGCCCCAGAGAGGAACGGACAGGGTGAGGGAGTGGGTGGGCAGTGCAGGGCTGGCCGTGCTGGGGAAGGAAGCGGTCACGCCGGACAGCACCGAGGTCTGGAACAAGGTGCTCCAGGGCCCGGGAAGAGGGCAAGGGAGGCTCCTGAATGGAAGGCCCAACTCAGAATCGAAGCAGGAGGCTGAAAAGTGTGTGTGTGTGTATGTGTGTGTGCGCGCGCGTAAATGGAGTCCGAAGAGTTAACCGTGGTGTGGAACAGCGACATCCGTCGTCTCAGCGATTAAGTCTGAGAAATCTGGGCTGGGGCCAGAGCACAGGCTGAGCACAAGCTTCTGTGGGACACCTGGATCTGACCCTCATACCACAAGGGGCCCGAGCAACACTGGGAGCAGCAGCTGAGCACTGGGCCCTGAGCAGCATCACCAGTATGGCCCCTCAAACAGTCCAGGATGGACAAATAACAAAATATTAACAGTCAACAAAATATTTCACTGCATAATTCCTTTAACAGGCCACTGGAAGAAGCTTCTGGGGTCCAACAACACAGATGCCAACAAGCAGAGACATCTGGTGGGTTCAGAGAAACACAACAGAAGGGGGGGGGGGCGATTGCCCTGCTCACGGCCCACAAGGGTTTGATCCCCGGCATCCCGTGTGGTCCCATGAGCACCATCAGGAGTGATTCCTGAGTGCAGAGCCAGGAGGAAGCCCTGAGCATCACCAGGTGGGGCCCCAAAAACAGAAACAAAAAGACTTTTAGTTTTCTGGAATAAGACAATGGAGTATATGAGAGAAAAAAAAAAACAACTTGGCAGTTTTTCTGCAATGGATGGAATCTGAGGATATCAGGCTAGGTGCAGTGAATGGGAAGGGGAAGAAGGACTGGATGACCTCATTCATATATGCAGTGTGAAGACATGACACAGGGAACAGACAATCCCCAGAGGAAACAGACCCTCGGCTACTGCCAAGAGAACAATGAACTCCGGATGCAGGGAGGTGGAGGAGGGTACTGACATCAGGGTGTGCATGCGTGTGTGTGTGTGTGTGCGCACGCGCGCGGGGGTGTCCTGAAGCAGCAAATATTAAACCACCAGACAGAAATGGTTGTAAATCACCGTCACTGTCACTGTCCTCCCGTTGTTCAATGATTTGCTCGAGCAGGCCCAGTAACGTCTCCATTGGAGACTTTGTTGTTACTGTGTTTGGCATATCGAATACGTCACGGGGAGCTTGCCAGGCTCTGCCGTGCGGGCGAGATCCTCTCGGTAGCTTGCTGGGCTCTCCAAGAGGGGCGGAGGAATCGAACCCGGCTGGGCTGGGCCGGCTATGCGCAAGGCAAATGCCCTACCGCTGTGCTATTGCTCCAGCCACAGTACTCCATACAAAATAAAAATAAAGCCATACGCTCGAAGTGATGGGCTGTTTTTAAAAGCCAAGAGCAAAGACTCAAGGCAACAGTGGCAAAAGCAAAGGCGAGTACTGGGACAGCAGCTGGGAGGACATGAAGGTGCGTGGGGCCCAGGGCCGTGAGAGGGAGAGGACTGGAGGGGTGGGGCGGGGGAGAGGCCCCAAGCCTCTGTAATGGGGAGGTGGAGGCAGAGAGAAAGATCCGCCTGGGTGCCCGGTCCCCTTGCAAGGCCTGCGCCCACCTGCTGTTCGTCTCTCCAGCTTTGCCAGGAGAGTTTTTTTTTTCTTCTTCTTCCTGCATTAATTCTCTTTAGGAAAAGCTCGGGTCAGATCTGGGGTTTAATTCAAGGGGAAGAATGAGCGGGGCCTCGGGAAGCGAAGCCAATGTTTAGGGATTCGCTCCCCACCGCAGACAACTCCAATGCGACTGCTTTGATTAAGTGACCACCAAGAGGGAAGTCCCGGCTGTCTCAGTCAAGAGATGACACGAGCCAGCAGCATACGGGATGTTAACTCGAGTTCTCAACACAGCTTCAAGCTGCAATGTTTTGCTTTTTGGGCCACACCCAGCAGTGCTCAGGACTTACTCCTGGCTCTGTGCTCAGGGATCACTCCTGGTGGTGCTCGGGGGACTGTATGTAATGCCAGGGATCGAACCCGGGCCAGCCACATTCTAGGTAAATGCCCTAAATGCTGTACTAGAGCTCCAGCCCTTCAAGTTGCAATTTGCGTGGTGTCTAGGAAGCTATTTCTCACAAACTCTGAAGAAAGGTTAGAGACAACTCTGTCAGCAAAACTTCATTGCTGAAAAAGCCCGGGAAACTGTTTGTTCCAGAAGCATCTTGGGAAGCTAAGCGCTGACCTGGGTGGGCCCTCTGCCCGGGGCCCCCTGTGGGCGAGGATTTCCTGCCCCGTAGCCTGTTGCTTCCATGGGTGGAACTAACAGGTTTTACAGAGAATAGTCTGTAAAAACAGTCCCCATAACGAGGGAAGGCCGCAGGCATGCAGTCTCGGGCCTGGTGCTAAACTGGGCTGACACATTTTACCAAGCTGTTCTCAGCACCTGCTTGACTATCAGCCACCAAGAACATCCAGGGAGGATCAATACATGGCAAAAGGCATCTGTTTACTACAGAGAGACGAGCACTGGATACTACAATTCTTTTCATTGGTGTACAGAGATGCATTACCCTCACATTAAAGACTTCATGAGTAAAAATAAATAAAGCAGCAGAGCCCGGCAGAGAGAAGCACCCGCCTCTGACCAGCTTCCCCCGCAGACGGCCGGCACACAGGGATCCCCAACCTGGAGCCTGGAAGCCCGGTTTAAGGTGAAACTGAAATGGCAATTTAAGCCTCAGGAGCAGGAGCGGAGATACATTTACTGGGTCGGCCTTCCTATAGGGTACTGAGTGTTTTCCCAAATCACAGAGTGACATCAGCAACTTCTTTTCAGTTTCAAGGAAGGCCAAGTTCAGGGGTCCTGTGACTGTCTCTGTGTGTGACTGTGTGTGTGTGTGTGTGTGTGTGTGTGTGTGTGTGTGCACGGATACGCACGTGCCCATCAGTTATCTGTTTAACCCTGTCACTGTCACTGTCCTCCCGTTGTTCTTCGATTTGCTTGAGCGGGCCCAGTAACGTCTCCATTGGAGACTTTGTTGTTACTGTTCAAGCCTAGTTATTAAAAATCATGTTCACATACAAAACCCAACTGAAACTCTTGTTGTGAAACAATCAAAATGGCAGAGAAACCCATAGAAAAGTCAGATGTTTCTCTATCAAAAAAAAAAAAAAAAAAAAGAGAGGGGCTGGAGCCATAGCACAGCGGGTGGGGCGTTTGCCTTGCATGCAGCCAACATGGCCAATACAGGTTCGATTCCCAGCATCCCATATGGTCCCCCGAGCACCGCCAAGAGTGATTCCTGAGTGCATGAGCCAGGAGTGACCCCTGAGCATCGCCGGGTGTGACCCAAAAAGCAAAAAAATAAATAAATAAAAAGAGAGAGAAAGGAAGAGAGATTTAAGCTACGACATTGGAAAGGTTAAGTGCTTATAACATGGAACATTCTTTGCAGTCATCAAATAATGAAGGTTTTACTGTGCTGAACACGGAGTGTTTCTAAGACACTTCCGAGGGTGGGGCCTGGGCGGCTAGCACAGCACCTGTCCTGTGTGTGTCTGGAACGAATGCATGCAGATGCTTACAGCCTAGCACGGCACCTACAGCACTGACCGACACCGGGCCACAAAACAGACCCCAGACCACCCTGCAGGGAAGCTGCACTAGGCAGGGACCCAGTGCCAAGATGCAGGGATTCCAACTCTGTGAGCTGTGAGGAAACAGACCAATTACAGACCGATTACCTTTGCTAGAGAGGCCTGGGAGGGCAGACGGTCCATAAGATGAGGTAAATGCAGGTGGTCTGGGGGTGCGGGGTCTCCTTTTCTGTTTTTGTTTTTTTTTTTTGCGGGGGAGGGGTGACACCTGGCATTGCTCAGGGGTGACTCCTGGCTCTGCACTCATGAATTACTACTGGCAGTGCTCGGGGCAGCATATGAGATGCTGGGGATCGAATCCAGGTTGGCTGCGGGCAAGAAATAAGCCCTTCCCACTGTGCGATCATTCCAACCTCTAAATCATTTCTGAGAGGTGAAAAAGAAAAGAGAATTCCGTGGAAAGTCAACGTGAGGCAAATGAACGTGCTCCTCTCTCCGTGTCCGTGAACACTGTCCTACACACTCTCTCTGTGCTGTCAGCGGCTGTCCAGCACTGCACCCTGACCCCCCAGGAGTGGAATTCCCGCCATCCACCACCTCGTGAGCACCTCAGCCCCAGGGAAATCCCATGCTGCATCAAAAGCTGGGGACCGAGGGCAAAGCCACCCCGAAGCCTTTGTGAACAGCCAGGGGGAAGAGAAGGCTTCGTTCATTGGGCTTAGAAAAGAATCAAAACAAATTTATTTTCCAGGCAAGGTTCTGGCTTGGTTTTGGTGGGAGGTATTAAGGATGGGAGAGGTGCCTGGATAACGGGGTGTCGCCCCGGGAAACTGGGAGACACGGAAGGGCCTGCTTTGTAAGGAGCCCGCTTCATGCTCTCACTCCCACATTCAACATTCTTTTCAGCTGTTGGCACAAAACTGGCACCACTTTCTATTTACTCTGAAATGTACACGGAGGGAAAGTGTAATCTCATTTGTACATTGTGGCTTCAGGACGCCAAGAGGTTGGTTCAAAATCTACAAGGAAACGGCCAGTGTGTGGGAGAGTTCCCTCTGCTTCTCAGAGATTTTCCCAAGGCTGCCCGGGCCGCTCCCCGCCCCCGCTCTGCCTCGCCTGCTGTGCCCAGCGCGCGGGCAGAGCCTTCCCGGCCTTCAAGTTGATTCTTCAGCGACGTCAAAGTCAGTTTCACAGGAGCAGAAACTGGCAACCTCCAGACCGACACACGGCTCAAGAAGGGCTTCCCACTCCCTCATTTTAGAACTTCCCTCCTTTCCACACACGAGCAGTGGTGGAACAAGCTGACTTCTTCTGTTTCGGAAACATTTTAGGGGGGGCCACCCCTGGTGGTGCTCAAGGCTCACTCCTAATGATCATGTGGGGCCCCGTCAGGGGCCCATTGGGATGCTGGGGATGGAATCCGGGTCGGCGGCCTGCAAAGCCAGCACCCTCCCAGCTAGATGTATGATCTCTCCAGCTCAGCACCTTCTTCAAATTTGATTTATTTATTGGCTTTTTGGGTTATACCCGGCGATGCACAGGGGTTACTCCTGGCTCTGCACTCAGGAATTATTCCTGGCAGTGCTCAGGGGACCATGTGGGATGCTGGGACTCAAACCTGGGTCGGCCTGTGCAAGGCAAACGCCCTCCCCGCTGTGCTCTCTCTCCAGCCACCCCACCCCCACCCCCACCCCCACCCCCCAGCACCTTCTCTTAAAAGTGATGCAACACCCAGGGGAAAGGGAGGTGGCTAAGCCCACTCGTCAGATAAACCTGAAAACAAAAAAGAATGACATATGATCTACTTTTTTTTTTCTCCCCCATCCTGCAATCTTTGATCTTTAACTCAAGTTAAATTCCTGTTTTTCCTTTTTTTTTAAATGTTTCTTTGGGCTGGGGGTGAGAGGAGCAACACCCCAGCGATGCTCCGGGGTACTCCTGGCTCTGCACTCAGGAATTAGTCCTGGTGGTGCTCAGGGGAACCATCTGGGATGACGGGAACCGAACCAGTGATGGCTGCGTGGAAGGCAAGAGCTTTCCCTGCTATACCATCTCTCTGGCCCCTGCATTCCTAGTTAGTGGTAACATTCTCCAGCCCTTCGTTTTTCAGGGGGCGTCACTGTTCTCAGCAGCAGCAGGGTGGCAGCCACCCCCTCCCCCAAGCACCACTACTCAGGGTTCTCCCCGCCTGAGCTACAAGCTACGAACCCAACCATCAGCGTGGAGGTGAGGGGCCGGAGAAGAAAATGTGACGCTGTCACGGTGCGCGAGCAGGTGCCTGTCGGGGACCCCGGCCCTCTCCAGTCCGGGAGAAGGACACCCGGTCGCAGCTCTGCTCCTGCGCAGAGGGTGGGAAGCCCACGGCCGGGGCGGGGGGGGCGGGGGGGGGGGAGCGCACAGAGCTGCAAAGGCAGGAAGCAGGCTGCGAGCTCCGGGCCCACCACCCAGTGAGCGCCCACCGGGAGGGCCACCCCTCCACAGGAACGGGGGTCCCCAGGCTCTCCACGGGCTTCCAGGGGACACCATCTCACACATCTGAGTAAAACTGGCAAAGCTGTCTGAACGTTCAAGCCCCCTTTGGAGCGGGGATTTCCTTACTGGCTCTGGGCGGGAACGGCAGGACAGTGGCGAGGGCGCTGCCTCGCACGGAGCTGGCCCGCCATCCCGTACGGTTCCGTCAGCACGGCCAGGAGTGATTCCCGAGCAAAGGGGCAGGAGGAACCCCCGAGCACCACCAGGTGCCACCTCCCCCTTCCCCACCACCACCAAAGAAAGAAAGGACCAGCTCTAACAGAATCCAGCCTCACACCAAACCCAATCATTTCAAATGAACTCGTCTCTACCGAATTTTTCTTTTTTTTGCCTTTTCAGGTCACACCCAGCGACGCTTAGGGGTTACTCCCGGCTCTGCATTCAGGAATTACTCCTGGCGGTGCTCGGGAGACCATATGGGATCTGGGAATTGAACCTGGGTCGGCCGCGTGCAAGGCAAACGCCCTACCCGCTGTGCTAGTGCTCCAGCCCCGGTATTTTTGATTTTCACATATTTATTTATTTGCTTTTTGGGTCTCACCTGGCGATGCACAGAGGTTACTCCTGGCTCTGCACTCAGGAGTTACTCCTGGCGGTGCTCAGGGGACCATATGGGATCTGGGAATCGAACCTGGGTCGGCCGCGTGCAAGGCTAACGCCCCACCCACTGCGCTGTCGCTCCAGCACCCTCTGCCGAATTTTTAACCAAGCCGTGTCACTGTGCCTTGTCAGCTCCCCGAGTGTCACCTCATGGCCTGAGCGTCTCTCCCACCTCTGCCGGGCCGCACCAGACACTCCAATCCCTTCTCGACCACCTCTAAGCGTCAAATTCTTCCTCCCGCGTGCTGAGCCCCGATCCCAGTGCCCCCCAGGGTGCCACCCCCCAGCCACCCCCTGCGGCGCAGCCTCGTACCTTCAGGCGCTCGATGGCTTCCTCTCCCCCCGGGGTGGACATGATCCGCTCCTGGATGCTGCTGGCGGACGGGAAGCCCACCTGGCTACTGAGCGAGCAGGAGGACGGGGAGGAAGTGAGGGACTCGATGGACGCTGTGGAGAAATTGCCAGGGCGTTGATTCTCAGAGGCTAGCAAGTACCTATGCTTATTGTTCTGAAAATCTTTCAGATCTGAGAGGCAGAAAGGAGGAGAGGCAGGAGACACAGGAGAGAGAGGAGAAGAGGAGAAAAGACAGGAAGGAAGACCAGTGTGAGAAAGGAGAGCTTCACAGCGTCGGACAAGTACAAGTTATCGTCCACAGAGTCAGGGTCTAGATGGCAGTTCTGAAACGTGTCTGTCAGGAACGCTGGGCCCCCCAGGCCAAGGACCACTCGGGAAATTAGTGGCCAATAATGTCTGCCGTGGGTGACCCAACCGCACGGCAGGAACACAGGCCTCAGAGGGTACTGCGGGCAGCTGCGCCCCTTCTGCGCCTTGTGTGGACCCCAATCTACAATGGCTGCAGACCCACACTTCAACAACACTAGCTCATAACACTTGGGGGGGGAGAATCGACTTATTGGCCAAAACCAAAACAGAGCCTGGAGCCCTGTTTTGATATTCAGGGCAAAAAAATTCTCAAGAAAGTATCCTAGTTAAAAATCTGAGGAGCTACCAGTGCTCTCGGGATGGACTCCAAAGACAGTGCCCTTCAGGAGTCAGGAAGACAGTGCAAAGGGCCAGAGCACGGCCCTGGTGTTCTGACAGCCTGCGCTCGACCCCCCACTGCTCCGACACCCCGACATCGCCCGGTGTGGCCCTGCTGGCTGTGCCTAAGAGCTGCTAGGCTGAGGGCCCCAAGCACCAATGGGGCAGCCCCCTTAAAAAATGACATCTTTAAAATACAGGAAGTGCTCAGAACTGGAGCAATAGCACAGCGGGTAGGGCATTTGCTGCAAACAGCTGACCCGGGTTCGATCCCTGGCATCCCATATGGTCCCCTGAGCACCACCAGGGGTGATTCCTGAGTGCAGAGCCAGGAGTAACTCCTATGCAGCGCCGGGTGTGACCCAAAAAACAAAATAAAATAAAATAAAATACAGGAAGTGCTGATGTCCGCACTGTACTGCAAGTCCCGTTTAAGAACACGGGTAGCTGACGGCCAAGAGAAGGCCGGTTCACGAGTGAATGAACTGGTGCGGTTTCTCGGCCTCTCCACTGGAGCAAGTGAAGCTGGAGGCTGAGGGGTCGCACAGGGAGCCTCAGCCTGACCACGAGCCACCAGAGCCCGCAGCGTCTGAGGGGCTTCCCTCCATTCACGAGGGGAGCACTGCGCTTCTGGGCTTTCATCTTCACTGTCCACGATGAAAACGGCAAAAATTGGTGATGGCACTCTTTGTACTTTTCTCCATTAGTCATCAGTCTCAGTGACATCAGAGCCAAAGTACCCTATTTTAAAATGAATTTGCTTTTTAACTTGAGGGGGAAAAAAATCTATACTGCTTAAAATTCCTCTCAGAACCAAATAAGTTTTCTGTGAAGGACGTGAGTCAACATGAAGGGTCTGCAAAGGGACGGGTCCTGAAGCCCTGGAGAATCAGGGCAGCCCTGAGACAGTTTGAAAACCACCATCTGCAGATACAGAACACAGGCGCACAAGCGGGTTCTTAAAGCGGCGGTGGGGACCGGAGTCACCACGCAACGGTGGCTAGGCAGGGAGCGGGGCAGGTGGGGCGGAGACGGTCCCCTGGACACATGCAAACCCCCAGGGACCCCAGAGCAGGGGCTCCAAGCAGCCATCGGAAGGAGGGAAGGGGCCAGGGCTGTTCTCCTGCGCGGGTGTTGGGAGTCAGATGCTGCCATGCACAGAGCGACTCAGGAAACGCCCCGGTGCTGGGGACGCGTGGTAGCCAGCCGGGAGCGGCACCACCTGCGGCACAGAGCGAGAAGCGGGGGGTCTGTCTACCCCAGTTCTCAGCAAGCTGTGGAAATCCCAGACAGAGCTGTTCTGGTTCAAGGGACACCGGGCAGAGTCCGGGGTGGGGGGTAGGGGAAGGTCTGAGCCTGGCATGTAACTCCCTCGGGGGAAGGTCTGACTGAGCCTGACTGAGCCCGGAATGCAGCTCCCTCAGCGGAAAGGTCTGACTGAGCCTGACTGAGCCCAGGACGTGGCTCCTTCAGGGAGAAGGTCTGACTGAGACTGACTGGGCCTGGGACGCGGGTCCTTCAGGGGGAAGGTCTGACTGAGCCTGACTGAGCCTGGGACGTGGCTCCTTCAGGGAGAAGGTCTGACTGAGTCTGACTGAGCCCAGGACACGGCTCCTACAGGGGGAAGGTCTGACTGAGCCTGACTGAGCCTGACTGAGCCCAGGACGTGGCTCCTTCAGGGAGAAGGTCTGACTGAGACTGACTGGGCCTGGGACACGGCTCCTTCAGGGAGAAGGTCTGACTGAGCCTGACTGGGCCTGGGATGCAGCTCTTTCAGGGGGAAGGTCTGACTGAGGCTGACTGAGCCCGGGATGCGGCTTCCTCAGGGGAAGGTCTGACTGAGTCTGACTGAGCCTGACTGGGCCCAGAATGCAGCTCCCTCAGTGGAAAGGTCTGACTGAGCCTGACTGAGGCTGACTGAGCCTGACTGGGCCTGGTACATGGCTCCCTTCAGCACTCCTGGGAATCTGCTCAACATTCCTGAGCCTCCTGACAGGCTCTGCTAGAGAAACCAGCAATGATAATCTAAAATGGGACCAGACAACACCAAGAGCTTTCCTCTCTTCTGAGAAAATTCCTCAGCAAATTTATCTCGAGGGGGCCAGACATAATTTCTTCACAACTGTCCTCCGCGGGGAGAGAATAACGAGGCCCAGTGGTTTATAGAACACCCTCACTGGGAGACCACGTCAGACACCGACGTTTTTTAAAAACGTTTCCCTAATCAGCAGGCGAGCTGGCCCCATGATATGGAGGAAAGCGGCTTACTATAAACACAGGCGAGTGCTTTGCCAGCACTGAGAAAGGGGGGGAAAGGGTTTTTTTGAATTATATAATCAGACCTCGAGGGATCTCAAGAAGCCAAAAGAGCTACGGTCGGGATGAACCGCCAGGTCCCGACCCTCGTGGACCTGCAGGACCCTGAGGGCGAGCGAGCTGCTGTTTCTGTGTGCAGCGACTTTGCTGGCAAACGAGTGGGGGATCTTCCCACAGGGCTGATGGTGTCCCTGAGAGAACCTGTCGTGGGCAGGCTCATAGAAACCACCACTGAGCCGGGGCCCTCGCCGTGGGCATGCAGTGGCCACTGGGTTCGGCTTCAGCTTTTTTCCCGCAGAAGCAGAAAATCTGCAATGTTGAAGCAGCCAGAGAGACTTTGGCCTCTCGGCCGTGGCTCCCCAGGATCGCTGTGGCGAGGGCGAGGGTTCGAGGGGGGCCGCGCCGGCAGCGCGCTCTGTCTGGGGTTTCCCGGCGAGGCTGCGGGCATGCAAAGCTCACGGGCACAGCGGCCTGGCAGCGGAGGGCAGCGAACCGAAGGGCTGGCGAGGGCCAGGCCAGAGAAATACACACATTTGCCTCCACTTCCAGAGTAATCGTCCATCAGTGGATCGACTGAAGGTGAAGCAGGAGGGAAAACACAGAGAGGATCGAAGTTCAGGCTTGGCAGTGACACGGGGAGGGGACAGGGCGGAGTGTGGCACGCGGGAAGATGAAAAGTTAACACGGAGAGAGTGTTATCACGTTACCCACTGCGCTGACCGACTGAGGCCCAGACCGGTCTGAAGCACTAAGCGAGACCCGTACGAGAATTCCCAACGATTCCGCATTTTACACTCGGCCAACGGAAACGCTTTGTCGGGCCAACTCCTACGCTACCTGAATCACCAGCCCAGTCACAGAAACATCCGATGAGGCAGATGGTGAGGGCGGGTCACTAACGTGAAAATCGGCTCATTTTAAGACAAGCGTGTAAAAGCGATATTCCCTGAAATTCCCACCTTGAGCTTGATAGGAAATGAAGCCTGTGCCAGTCACGTGGGGGGGGGGGGGCAGGGGGCATTCCATCATATCGGGAGGAGGGGCGCTACAGTTGCCTAACACTGCGGCCAGACAAAGCCCCAAAATGTAAGGAACATTTTTATGAAGCGATTCATTTTCCTGTAGTAAGCTTAACATTCCAGATAGACCAGCGACTCACCTAAAACCCAACTCTAATACAAATACAAAGAGTGATCTACTCGTATTTTTCAAATGATTAATTTTGTGGGTTGAAACGGTCTGGTACTAAGTATAAGAAGGAATTCTAAGACTGGCTCGATATTTTCCTTAAGGTAAAAAGTGAAAACTCCCTTTCACTGTCATTTTGCTTCATCGGTTTTCTCAGCCCTGAGGACCCCGATGCGGAGAGCGCACCTCAGGGGCTGCCCCGCTGACTTACTATCAATAATATCGCCAAGGCCCTGGGCACGGAGAAGGTCCTTGAGCCGCGTCACCTCCTCCTTGAGCTCCCGGACGAGCTTGGCGTTGGGGTCCTCGTTGATGACCGCATTGCACTTGATCTGCTTTGCACGATCCGCATATCTAGGTGCGAAAAGAAAACCCACTCAGTGCTTCCCGATCTTCGTCAAGAGGAGGGAAAGGGTCAAAATGCTTCCCCCACGATGTTTCAGGGCCGTAAAGGGCCGGTGACTTCGTCTGTGGGAAAGTGCAGGCTTGCATGTGTGACCTGGGTTTGATTGCTGGAACCACACACACACACACACACACACACACACACACACACAAAATATATACTAAAAGGTAAGCCAACAGACACACACCTGAAATACATATCAGGAAGGAATGGCAGCACTAACGTGTCTGATGCTATAGTTTCCCGCCCGCAAAAAGACACAGAAAGGTCTCGAATGGGAGCCACGGGGACACCCCAGAGCAGCGCGGTGTCCACGGCTTGCTATTCACACACAGGAGCCGCCCGTTAGTGGACACCCCACCACACTCTGCCATGGGAAGGGTTTTGTTTGCTTTTGGGGTTTCGTTTTGTTTTGGGGCCACACCCAGCAATGCGCAGGGCTAACTCGAGGCTCTGCACTTAGCAATCATTCTGCAGGCCTGGAGGACCCTAAGGGGTGCCAGGGCCGAACCCAAACCAGCCACATGCCAGGCACGTGCCCTCCCTACTCCCTCCCTACTGTGCTATGGCTCTGGCCCTCGTCACAACATTTCTTTTTTTTTTTTTCTTTCTTGGTGCCAAGAATTGAGCTCAGGACCTCATACTTGACAAGGATAATTCAAGGCAAGCGCCATGCCTGATGTACTATCTTTCTGGTCCCTAGAGCCAGAACTTTAAAAATATCACATGTACTCAAAATCGCCTTGCTTTTTACAATTTGAGCACTTAGATGCCAAATAAAACATTTGGCATTTAATGCAAACACACGGAGACACGTTCTCTTTTTTTTAAATAGAAGTGAATGTTATACAAAATCAAAAAAGTCATCTAAAATATATCATCTGGGCAACGGCAATATCTTTCCTCTGAATCAAAGTCACCTCTTGCCTTAGCCTAGGGATGGGAAAGCCCAGAGTGGAGGCAACGGCGCAGGGGTCAGACAGGCAGGTCCTGCAGGCACAAGGCCCCGAGTCTGACCCCAGCACTGAGAGTCTGTCTGGTCTGGTTGAACAAACTTGCTTGGGAGCCCCCAAAACACTTCCCCTGCCCCCCCAACCCAAAAAGGAAATAAAATCTAAAAAGGAAAACGAATGAGATCATAAATTTTTCTGTAATAACAAAATTTCTTTTCCCCATGGTAACTGTCATGAGAGAAGGTCACCACCCACAGCGCTACCCCCAGGACCACCCACAGCAGGCAGGCAGACAGACAGACAGACAGACAAACAGAAAGACGGGGAGCAAGGCCAAGTACCTGAGCGTGCTCAGGGTCTCGTCGTAGTTGATGTCCGCAGGGCTCAGGGCCGCGACCATTGCAGTCCGCGAATTGCCACCTGGAAAGACTCGCTGGATTAACTCACATCACATTCATTTTAGGGGGAAAAAAGCATTTCTCCATCCACTCAGAGGGCACAATCTGTTTCTGGAAGTTCACCAACAAGTCTTTGGTGACCCCCCTGCCAAGCACTGCAAGCAACCAACACCAGTGGCCTGGGTCCACACAGCCACCTCTCCCCTCCCTCACACCCCCCCGCCCCCCGCGTTGAAACCAGTCTAGTGGGCCACGCTTGAAAATGCCCACGTCACCGGTGCCACGGACAGGTCACCTGGGTCCTGCCAGCCGTCCCCTACAGCAATACTGCACACGGATCAGAGCCTCCTCTCCGTCAAGAAGACAGAGGGGCTAATGACAGGAAGTGCAGGGACCAGAAGGCCCAGAGCAGGGGTGGAAAGGAGGCAGCCCGCACAGGTCTGAATTCCAGCACCGCCGAGGGGTCAGAGGGCTTCAAACGGCCCAGAGGGCTGCATGAGTGCAGGCTGGCAAGCAGCGCCCAGGGGGCACTCAAGCACCCTCAGGTGGCCTCCAGAAACATATAAAAGAAAGCTGAACAAACCCAACCACCTTAAAGCAAAAGCAAAAAGGAACAAAAGAAAGGCACATTCAGATGAGCCAGATGAATACAGATTATCCTCCAGACAGGAACACAGCCCATGACCGCAGACAGCGGCAGACGGCTTAAGAAGCGAGGCACAGAGGGACCAGCGTACCGAGATTTTCTCGAAGGAGCCAAGTCAGAACAGAATCTCTGTAGGGAATAAAATCTGTTTTCTTCTTCTTCTTGCTCTGTGAAACAGAAAGAAGCGGCCTCAGAGTTGTGTCTTTGAGAACGAGGAAGCTGAGAACATGACGACTATCCTAACATCGTCGAGGAAATTAAGCAGACCCCCTTCCCTGTTCTCACTTAACTCCCACAGTTTCAGTTCTTCATGATACCCTAAAAGTCATGGAGTAGCTTTTTCTTCTTAATCCTGATATTCGTTCGAAAATAAGCAACAGGGGCCAGGAATGAAGCTCAACTACAGAGCCTGTGCCTCGCACGTGTGAGGCCCTGGGTTCAACCTCCAGCACCACACACACACAAAGGAAAACGCCTGTGGCGTTTTGTTTTTGACAGCTTCCACAGCAGAGGCAGGAGCTACTGTGTGCATCTATTTAACACGGAACATCAACAAGCAGCACTTCTTAGGCAGGGGCCAGAGAGAGAGCTCAGTGGGTAGGGCACTTGCCTGGCCCAGGCTGGGTCCCCTGAGCCTGCCAGAAGGGATCCCTGAGCACCATCGGGTGTGGCCCCGAAACAAAACAAAACAGAAAAATACCCACTAACAGCACTACTTTGTCAATCATCTTTCAATTATCCCTCGAGGATTGAAACTTTTTTCTTCCCGAAACACACCCTTTTATCACTTCAGAAAACAAGGACTTTTTTTAACACTCAGAGTTCAATGACCATAATTCAGGAAATGTGAGAATACAATGTTCTTATCTAATATCCTGCCCACATCATGTTTTTTATAGCTGGTTCTTTTGTTTTGTTTTGTTTTGTGAGCCACACCCCGGGTGCTCCCTGGTGACTCTGAAGACCAGACTGTGCCAGGGTTCGAATCAGAGCTCCCTCACGTAAAGCAGTGGCCTCAGGAGCCATGTTCTTGACTTGAAAGCTAACAACACTTTAAAGAAAAGAGTTTTCCCCTATAGATACCGCAGATCCCTTCAACTGATAGAAATTTCTATAATTTCAATCGACTATAGAAAGGAGCTCATTCTGTGGTGCAGGAAATCAAACCCACGCCTCACGACGCCAAGCTTGAGCTCACCCCTGAGCTACATCCTAGGCCCTGAGATGCGTCTTTCTAAACTATAAGAGCATTATCATACTTTAAAATGTTTGATAATTCCTGAATGTCACCCAACACCCAATTTGTTAGCTGTCATTTTTCTTTTTTGCAGAGGGTCCAAGAAGACCCCGGGCTCTCCAGTCTGGAGTGAGTGACTTCGTCAATGGATTGACTTGGCCAACCACTGAGGGGGCTATCAAGTGTCTAGGAACACTTTCACAGTAAGAGTAACACACACTCGATTTCTCGGAGTGAAAATCATTTCTCAAGTCTGTCTAACCACTAACACTAAGACTCAAAATCAAAAGCTCCAAGAGAGAAAAGCGATGTGCCAATTTGGCAAGTGTGAAAACTGCAGTATGAATTCTTGACACCCACCGAGTCTGCGGGGAGGCTGTTACCTTCCCACAACTCTTCTCTTTACCGTTAAGTCAAAGGCCACATGCAGGGGCTGGAGCGGCACAGCGGGTAGGTGCCGCCTTGCACACGGCCAACCCTGGTTCCATTCCAGTCGCCCCATACGGTTCCCCAAGCCCTGCCAGGAGTGAGTCCTGAGCACCGCAGGGTGTGGCTCAGAAGATCAAAAAAACCCTTTTTTTAAAATTTTAAAAGGCAGATCAAAGCCACGGCCCAGGTGGCAATGCTGGCAGAGAGCCAGTGATGCTCAAGGCTGATCTGCCCAGCACTCCCAGGACCCGGCGGGAAGGCCAGGAAAGGGCCCTGCCCAGACACAGAGGTTTTGCAGCCCTTCCCGGCTGACCCGCGGAATCATTAAACTAAGGCTGATCCAGGCACCGCTTGGCACCTCATGCAGGGGGGCGTGCTTGGGAACTACCCTGTGGCTTGTGAAGGTAAAAGGAAGTAAAACTGGGACTCTAAGTCCCTCTTTCCTCAAATACATCCTCCTCCAGCTCCCTGCACTCCACCTACAGATCCATTTTCAAACCCTTAGAAAGTCACCTCCTGGGCTGGAGCAACAGCACAGCGGGTAGGGCGTTTGCCTTGCACGCAGCCGACCCGGGTTCGATTCCCAGCATCCCATATGGTCCCCTGAGCACCGCCAGGAGGGATTCCTGAGTGCAGAGCCAGGAGTAACCCCTGAGCATCGCTGGGTTTGACCCAAAACGAAAACAAAAAAAGTCACCTCCTAACTACCCCTCACTGTCCCCCTGGCTGAGTGAGACGGTACCCCCTGCAGAGTGATGTCATCGTTCCCAGACCCCAGTACCCCTGAAACACTGATGGTGCTGCTGGTTAGCCCAGTGAGCTTGGCAGGATTTAAATACCCGACAGTGACTGCAAGGCTGCTACAGACACAAGCATGTCTGTGCGCCAAATGCGTTCCCTTTGCCAGCTAGACCAAATTAACGACCATTAAATGAAGAAGTACAAATGGGACTGTGGTCTTTCCCACTTGAAAATAGGGGAAACTGAATTCTCGCCATTTCCTTCCTAGTCGTTCCTTTACGTGAACGAATCTCACTGTTCTTACACCCACCATGATTTCTGGTAGGTGCTTCCGGGGTGGGTCATTAGGCTCTCCTAAATGAAATACGATTAGGGATGGATGTTCGTTGCTTAGGGCCTGTCCTCAGTAAAATAATATGCTAAATGACACTTCTCCTACTAAAAAACTTGTGATCTGTCTTAGGTACAAAAGACACAAAACACTAAAAGTGGGTTTTACAAAACGAAAAAGCCATCTTTGAGTGAGCGGGGCACACTTCCTCCCAGGTGTGGCAGGATGCTCAATGGTGAACCGGTGGACAGGACAAGGCACACCATGACTAAAACTTAAGTTTTCGTGGTTCTGGGGCTGAGATTTAAATACTAGAATAAAACGCATGTTTGATATCAAACAGATTTTTGTCTCTTTCCAGCCACACCCAGCAGCGCTCAGGGCTGGGGTCACTCCGGGTGCGACCCATGGACCCACACGTGGTGCTGAGACAGGAACCTGTATTGGCCTCTGTAAGGCAAACTGTGCAGGCTCCCTGGCACACTTCGTTGCGAGGCTACACCCAGAGGAGCTGAAGGGTCACTCCCGGCTGGTGCTGGCAGGCTTGGGGGACTGACTGCACGTGGTGGGAGAGATCGAACCCAGGTCGGCTGTGTGCAAAGCAACCCCCCTTGCTGCTGTTCTCGCACTCTGGCCCGAGATGTTCAATTGAAGGTTGACTTTTCTGATTAGCAAAAAACAGAATTATTCTTGTTTACATAGAAATAAGGATAGACTATTTCTCGGTAATAATAAGCCTATGGGCTGGAGCGATAGCACAGCAGTAGGGTGTTTGCCTTGTGCACAGTCAGCCCAGCTGAGCCTAGTTCGATTCCTCCGCCCCTCTTGGAGAGCCCGGCAAGCTACCGAGAGTATCTCGCCCGTGAGGCAAAGCCTGGCAAGCTCCCCGTGACGTATTCAATGTGCCAAACACAGTAACAATAAGTCTCACGATGGAGACGTTACTGGGCCCGCTCGAGCAAATCGATGAACAACGGGAGGACAGTGCTACAATAAGCCTATATGTTTCTTTCTTTCTTTTTGGTTTTTGGGTCACACCAGCGATGCTCAGGGGTTACTCCTGGCGGTGCTTGGGGGACCATATGGGATGCTGGGAATAGAACCCTAGTCAGCTGCAGGCAAGGCAGACGCCCTACCTGCTGTACGATCGCTCCGGCCCAATAATAAGTGTATATATTTGAAAACAGAAGTAAAATATGTCAGCGCAAAGATACCATTGCTATCCTCAGTGTTACCTGTATGATTCAGAGGAAACTGTTAGGTGCTCTAGCATTTATCCAAGAGCTTTCATTTTTTTTTTTCATCATCCTGTTATTCGTCGATTGCCTCGAGCAGGCCCCAGTAACGTCTCTTTCATCCTAGCCCTGAGATTATATTCAAGGCTCTTTAGGAGAATGAGACCCATCATTGTTACTGGTATTTGGCATATTTGGTACACCACGGGGAGTTTGCCAGACTCTGCCCTGTGGGCAGGCTACATTCGTCTGATCCAAGAGCTTACCGAGATCTTTAACTATTACTACAGAACTAGGAGAAAATTTTGTACTAATTAAATTTCAAAAGATGCAAATACTCTTTCTGGCTTTTGTCTGTTTGGGGGTTACATCCAGCAATGCTCAGGGTTTACTGCTGGCTGTGCTCAGGGATCACGCCTGGCAGGGCTCAGAGAACTACAATGGGTTGTTGGGGATCCAACCACCTGCATCACCTGCAAGCCAGGCAAGTGCTGATCTGCTGTCCTAGCTTTTCCAGCCTACAGACATGCTTTCTAGATGCAATTAAGACTTTCACACGAGTCTGTATAGAACCAGAGAGGGAAAAGGTTTTCTTAAAAAGAATTTAAGCGTTCCGTGACTTTTCAAGACACGAAATAATACACAGGTTTTAAAAATCACACCAATAATTAATTTCAAGAAGCCAGCTATGCTTTAGGACTAAATTTAAAAATAATTTTTTTTCTGAAGTTTTTGAGCCACACCTGGTAGAGTTTATGGGTTACTCCTGGCTCTGTATTGAGGAATTAGTCCTGGCAAGCTCAGGGGACCCTGTGGGATGTGAGTGACCGAACCCGGGTGAGCAGGGTACAAGACTAGCATCCTGTCCACTACTGTGCTATCAATCTGGCCCTAGAAATATATTCTTGTTTTAAGAATTCCTCCTCTAAAGTACAGCATATTCCCTATATTAATTTTGATGTGAAGCTTCATGATCTGTCACCATCCGAAACAGAATTTTAAATTCCACAGCCAAAAAAAAAAGGAACTTTTTTTTCAAGGCTTCATTTTCACTTTTGCCTCTATACATCCTGCTGAAGTTTTAGATATGACAACTGATTTTTATAGCTAGTTAATTTCTACCAAACTCCCCATTACCTTGCTGGTGCAATTATCCTACAGATGAAAGCATTTCGAAGAGAAAATGAAAACAAAGAATAAACAACAAAATTTAAAATATTTTGGTTAAATTTTAGATCATAAATTGAGTTTCTCAGAGACAAGAAAACATTTAACCATTTTTTAGGGATACGAAAAAAAAGAGATAATTACATAAAATTAAAGCACATGATTAATACAGCATCTAACCTAAATAATAAAGCTTTTTATTAAAAAAAGTATTTCAGTAGTTCTACTCCACTATTAACAGAAAAAAGTATAAGAACTTAAAAAAAATTATCGGCCCCAAATCATCAATATTTACTAAAGTGTTCAAACGACTTGAAAAATATTACATCCTACTGAGGAAAGACTACATTAAAACATGCAATAAATACATTTAGTTTTTAAAGAATTTTAAGAAAAATGACTCAAAAAATTAGGCAAACCACAGGCCTCTGCAAAGACCCAGTATTTGGTCTATATTCACTTTTATCTGCCTTAATCTCCTTCACATTCAGTACAAAGTCAGGGTGTATTATAGCCCGTATCTTATCTGAAAAGCCCTAAAAGGAGAAAGGCCAGGTTAAATAAACGAACAGCCTTCACAAACAATCCTGAAACACTGTCAAGTACATCTGCTGAGCAGGCCAATTTCCCCTTGCAATAAGCTCTTAGTACTCACCACCTCTGCCAAAGCGGAAATGACTTTGCCCAAAGTTGTCAGAGACTTATTAATATTTGCTCCTTCCTGAAATCAATCCCAAACATAAAAGAATTACAATGAAACATTTCGACCATTGCCCACTTCATATGCGACCCGTAAGATACAGTTATCACGAACGACTTTGCCCAAAGTTGTCAAAGACTTATTATTAACTTATTTCCTTCCTGAATTCAATCCCAAACATAAAAGAATTACAATAAAAAATTTCGACCGTGGGGCTGGGGTGGTTGGAGGGATGCTGGGACCATTGATGGTGGAAAATGGGCACTGGTGGAGGGATGGATACCCGAGATGCACCCATGAAAGTTTGTAAGTCTGTAACTGTACCCCACGGTGATTCACTAATAAAAAATAAGAGGAAAAAAGGAAAAAAAAATTTGACCATTGCCTCGACACATGTAATCCGTAAGATACAAATTAGCACATGCTCCACCCTCAAGTTAAAGCTCAGGATTCCACATGCAGACAGGCCAGGAATCCACGTCTGACCCAAGGTCACTAAGTATCTCCAAGACAGTTTGCTCCGTCCTCTAAACAGACACGGCATTCTCTGGGCAGCCCGGCAGTGGGGCTCGTTAGGGGCTGGCTCTGAAGGTCTTCGGCCCCCTCTCCCTCTCCAACTCAATGGAGCCCATCTGCTGCTGCTGCTCCAAATACCATGACTACTCCACAACCCACCTCTTGGGACTCAGGACTTGCCCAGGGGAGGCTCTGCGTGCCACACGGCCGTTACCATCTCTCAGCTGACACGCAGCCCGTCGGCACTGGGCCAGGCAGGAGGTGCTGTGTCCCGGTGCAATTTAATTTACAAGAACAGGTGATGGGCCAGACCTGGCTGTCCGCCACTGCTTGCTGCCCGGTCTTATAGGATGATCACGGACTTGGCCATTTGCTTGGTAAAAATCACCTTCATGTATTTCTTGTCCCTCCCCTAAAACTAAATACCTTCAACCGAGTTCCTTTGGCGCCCGTTGAATCTGCTCGTTCGCTTCCAGCTAGATCCACCAAGCTGATTTTGCTGACCTGGTAGACAAAAGGCAAACAACATTGAAGGATGTTTAAGGATAAGCAAAGCGGAAGAAAGAAGACACCTAAAGGAGGAAAATGAGGGGCTGGAGTGGTAGCACAGAGGGGAGGGTATTTGCCTTGCACGCAGCTGGCCTGGGTTCAATCCCCGGCATCCCATATGGTCCCCGAAGCACCGCCAGGAGTAATTCCTGAATGCAGAGCTAGGAGGAACCCCTGAACATCGCTGGGTGTGATCCAAAAAGCAAAATAAGTAAGAAGGAAAATGAAAACCCATTAGCCCCACTTAATCCTAAAAATAAAGTCTTGAGCAACTAGAATTCCTATGCACGGCCAGGAAGAATGCACGGTGACACAATCCCTTTAGAAAATGTTTTGGTGGGTTCTTAAGAAGCTAACCGTTATCCACAAGCCGCAAAGAACAAGGCGGTACTCAGTGGCAGAGTGCACGGTGTCTCCGTTTGTGAGGCTGTGGGCTCAAGCCCTGGCACTGGGCAGGGTGGGGCAGCAGCTGGGAAACGAGACTTGTCCACAAACGCTCACAGCACCTCACTACACTTGGCAACAGGAGCCAGGCAGAAACCAGCCCACACTACGCGATTCCAGTTATAGAAGGTTCTGGAAAAGATAAGGCAATCTAGAGTGACAGAAGTGATCAGGAACCGAGCAAGAAGAGGCAGAGAGTAAGAAACGCCTTAGGAGGGAGCATGGGGTGGTGCTTGGAAACCACAGCGTGCCCGTCGTCTGGACTGATGTCAGCAGCAAGCCGGTGGAGTCACTGCCACTCCACTCTAGACTTTACAAGTGTGTCGTGTCCAGAGCAGCTGCCTTCCAGGAGGAGCAGGAGGGGGAAGAGGAGGAGGAGCAGGAGGAGGTGGAGGGGAGGGGGAGGAGAAGCTGAAGGAGGAGGAGGAGGAGGAGGGGGAAGAGGAGAAAGAGGAGATGGAGGAGGAGGAGGAGGAGGAGGAGAAGGAGGAGGAGGGAGAGGAGGAGGAGGAGGAAGAGGAGGAGAAGGAGGAGGAGGGAGAGGAGGAGGAGGAGGAGGAGGAGAAGGAGGAGGAAGGAGAGGAGGAGGAAGGAGAGGAGGAGGAGGAGGAAGGAGAGGAGGAGGAGGGAGAGGAGGAGGAGGGAGAGGAGGAGAAGGAGAATGAGGAGGAGGAGGAGGAGGAGGAGGGAGAGGAGGAGGAGGAGGAGGAGGTGGAGGGGAGGGGGAGGAGAAGCTGAAGGAGGAGGAGGAAGAGGAGGGGGAAGAGGAGGAGAAAGAGGAGATGGAGGAGGAGGAGGAGGAGAAGGAGGAGGAGGGAGAGGAGGAGGAGGAGGAGGAAGAGGAGGAGAAGGAGAATGAGAAGGACTGGGAGGAGGAGGAGGAGAAGGAGGAGGAGGAGGGAGAGGAGGGGGAGGTGGAGGAAGAGGAGGAGAAGGAGAATGAGGAGGACTGGGAGGAGGAGGAGGAGGAGGGGGAGGAGGGGGAGAAGGAGGAAGAGGAGGAGAAGGAGGAATGGGAGGAGGAGGAGGAAGAGGAGCAGCAGCAGCAGCAGAAGGGGGGGTTGCCCCAAGCTCCTCTCAACCAGCCCCTGCAACAATCGGGTCCGCACAGTGGAGACAGCCTGGGGGCTGCTGGGCACTGGTGACTTGAAGCCCCTTGTTGCCAACGTCTGTTCCAACACACCAGCACTGGGGCCAGGCCCTCATGCCCATCCATCCCCAGGACGGCCCAAACCCACGTGGCAGCCCGCAGCACAGACACAGCACAGACGGGGAGACGAGAAGTCACTGTCACCAAGTGGTCGAGGCCGCAGCGGGAAGAAGCAGCCTGGCTGCCAGCCTGGAGGAAGCCCCGCTGCAGCCCGAGGAACCGAGGGCGTCACGCTCGGAATTGTGCTCAGTGACACGAGCCTGCAGAAAGACACCTCTGCCAGGACAGGAGGTCTTAACAAGTCCCAGCGGGGGCTGGAGGGATACTACGCGCTTATTCTCAAGTTTATTCTTCTTCTCTCTGGTGGGGAGGGGTCTTTGGGGGCCACACTCAGTGAGGCTCAGGAATCACTCCTGGCGGTGCTCAGGGCCAGGTGTGGTGCCGAAATTCAAGCCGGGTTGGTCACACGAGGCGCCTGGGCCCCTGGGCTGTCTCTCCGGACACCCGGCGCATGTCTGCCTTAGGTTCCTCGTAACCTATTCTCCTCCCGGAACCTGGAGTCTCTGTCGGGCAACGGCCTCGCACCTGACGCTGGGAACCTGTCTCACTCATTTCCCTTCTCTTTCCAGCCCTGTCAGACGCTTGTCAATTTTAATGACCTTTCAAGAACTTGTTTGGTTTCACTGATTCTCTTTATTGTTTTCCTGTGTTCAATTTTTTTTTCTTTTTGGGTCACACCCAGCAATGCTCAGGGGTTCCTCCTGGCTCTGCGTTCAGGAATTATACCTGGCGGTGCTTGGGGGACCATATGAGATGTTGGGAATCGAACCCGGGTCGGCCACATGCAAGGCAAACACCCTACCCGCTGTGCCCCTCAATTTGATTTCTGCACTTGAAATTTCCTCCATCATTTTTCTGCTTAAATCAGAACTCTGCTTCTCCAGATTCTTGAGGTAGAAATTTATATTGTCTTAAAATATTTCCCATTAGGGCTAGGGGGTAGTGACTTTTAGCACTGCACACTGGCAGGAGTGACCCGCGAGCACAGAGCCAGGAGTAAACCCTGGGCACAGTAGGTGAGGCCCTAAAACAAACAAAAAAAACCCATAAAAATATCTCAGCTTTTATGGGCTGGCGAGAGAGGACAGTGGGCAGGGCACCTGCCCCCACGCAGCCATCCTGGTTCGCGCATGTGCATTTAAGGCGATCAGCTTTTTATCTAAAATCTTTGTTCAAAATATTTTATAATTCTTTTTGAGAAAATTTTATTTCTCCTTTGCACACTGAATATAAACATATGGTTTAACCATTGGGTACCAAGAAAGTTTTGTAAACTTTTTTATTATTCATTTCCAGTTTAATTCTATTATTCTGGACACTATACTGTATACGAATTAAATACTCTTAAAAAATAATAAACATATTATCCCAAATGAATTATACCAATGACGCTATAAAGATAGGATCAACGTCATTATTGTAGATTTACTTCGTGGGATTTTTTTTGTTTTGTTTTGAGGGGGTCTTTGGGAGTCTCCCCAGCAGTGCTTGGGGGTCTGGCAGAGGCTGGGGGTCCACCCAGGCCGTCCAGGGCTGGAGCTCACCCCTGGGCCTCCAGACTATAGCCAGCAAGTGAACTGGGGTGAGCACCCGAGGGCCCCTTCTGGGCTCTCTCTCTGAACCCTGAAGCGTGTTTTCTAAAATGATGTTCAGCTAAAAACATGAGTCATTCATTCAACACAATGAAAACTGAGCTCGAAAAGTCATTCAACACAATGAAAACTGAGCTCTAAGCTGCAGCCACTGGACTCTGTAATGTGCCCGTTGAGGAGGCAGGGGGCAGGTGACAAGGTGGGACTCGAGTCCAAACATCATATGCCTAAAACTCAACGAACAATAGCTGCAAATCACGGTTCTCTAATCAAATTTTTTAAGTTAAAAGAAAAAGGGGGAACAGAAAAGTCATTAAATGAAAGATGATTCTAGTTTACAGTGAACTCAGTATCACAAGGAATTCAGTTTACAATCCAAAATCTCCTTTATAGCTCCCAGTATAGTAAGCGGTACCAGACTGAAAATCAAACTTCATGCTACTTACGACGTACGCAGGGTAAAATTCACATACATTTATTAATCGCACTGTGGCACTATCCTCCCACTGTTCACTGATTTGCTAGAACAGGCACCAGTAACGTCTCCATTGTGAGACTTGTTGTTACTCTTTTTTTTGCATATCGAATACGCCACGGGGAGCTTTCCAGACTCTGCCGTGTGGACGGGATACTCTTGGCAGCGAGAGGGACGGAGAAATCGAACCCGGGTTGGCCTCATGCAAGGCAAAAGCCCTACCCGCTGTGCTGTTGTTCCAGCCCTCATTGATTCGTAACAATATAACAAATTTAAGAACTCCATACCACAGACACTATTATATTTACTCAGCTGTAATAACCGATCATAAAGGCTGTTACAAGTAAGAAATGAGGCATGTGGTGCGTCAAGGGAACAGTAAGAAGCACACGGAAGCACGAATCCCCAAAGCCACCTGCACTCTGATGTTCACTGCAGCACTGGATACGATGGGCAAAATACGGAAACAACCCAAATGCCCACCAACAGATGGCTGGCTAGGGAACTGTGATACACATGCACAGTGGAGTACTACACAGCCTTAAGAACAGATACGGTCATGCAGTTTGCCGCAACATGGGTGGACCTGAAGAGTATCACATTCCGTGAAGTCAGCTGGAGGGAGAGGAAGCGCCTCAGTGTGCTCTGCCTCCTCTATGGGCGCTCGAGGACCCTCGTAGTGGAATATCAAATGCCCGATGGCGGCAGGGACCCAGCGCAGCAGAACTGGTGTGCAGGGGGAAGCGGGGCACTGGGGCAGGGGTGGGGGGAAGTTAGGGAGGGGAACAGCAGGACACGCAGGAGGGGGCAAGTGGGAGGGGAACGGGGGACACTGGTGGAGGGTGGTGGGCAGCGGGGAAGGGACTGGATTGAACAACCTACGCCTGAATCATAAATACCTTCGTGACTTTGTGAATCACACGGCGATTCAGTGAAAACCAAATAAATTTTTAGGAAAAAAAAGAAAAACGTAGCTGAACCAGAATCTCCAGAAAGGAGCTTAATTCCAGAGTCTACGAAATTTAACCACTATGACAAATGAGAAATCAACAAGCAAAGTGTTGGAGGAACATCCAAGGTGCTGTGCAGTTATTCATTTTCCAAAAATAAAGCAGGAACAATATACGCCTGAATCATAAATACCTTTGTAACTGTGTGAACTCATGGTGATTCAACAAAATCTCAAAAAAAAAATTTTTTTGGGGGGTCACACCCAGCGAAGCTCAGGGGTTACTCCTGGCCCTGCACTCAAGAATTACTCCTGGCGATGCACAGGGGTTACTCCTGGCTCTGCACTCAGGAATTACTTCAGGCGGTGCTCCAGGGACCATATGGGATGCTGGGAATCGAACCCAGGTCGGCCATGTGCAAGGCAAATGCCCTACCTGCTGTGCTATTGCTCCAGCCCCCTCAAAAAATTTTTAGGAAAAAAAAATGTGGCAGAACAAGAATCTACAGAAAGGAGCTTAAATCCAGAGTCTACGGAATTTAACCACTATGAAAAATGAGAAATCAACACGCGAAGTATTTGAGGAAGATCCAAAGTGCTGTGCAGTTATTCATTTTCCAAAAATAAAGCACATCTCATCTGCTTCACAGTTTGTTTAAATATAACCACCGGCCTGGCAGAGAGCTCAGGGTTGGGGCTTGTGCTGCTCATGAAGGAACCCCACAGCCAATTCCCCGTGCCGCATGGACCCCAGAGCCCCGGGAGTGACCCCGAGCACTGTGCTGGGCTAATCCTTGTACAAAACCAAAAAAAAAAAAAATCAATCCCACCTATCCAAGCAGAAAAATGATACACACAGAGTTGACAAACTAGTTGGCAAACACAGCTTGAAGATATTAAGATGAAAATTAAGTGAACCGAATCCTCAGTCAAGAAGCAGTAAAGGAAGAATATTAGTCTCCAAAGAACAACTTGATGTTCTTTTAAGGTTTTTTGAGAACCCAAGTTTTAAGCTGTTTTTCCTTTTTGCTTTTGGGCCACACCTGGTGGTACTCAGGGTCACTCCTGGAGGGCTCGGGGGGTGCCAAGGAGTAAACTCAGGTTGGCCACGTGCAAGGCAAGCACCCTCCCCACTGAACTATTGCTCTGGCCCTGTTTTGTTTTAGAGGCCGCGTCTGGCAGTGCTCAGGGACCACGACTAGTCGTGCATGGGGACACGGGAGCTGGAGCTGGCACCAGGCTTGGTCTCATGCCAGGCCACTGCCGGCTTCCTTCCCTCGCCAGCACTGTCTCTCCAGCCTTAATCCTCCCCTCCAGCCTGCAGGGCCTTTTAAAACCCCTGTTCAAAACTGGCCTCAAAGGGAAGAAAAAGGACCGTGATGTGGTCAGAGGGGCCTCAAAGGGCTGGAGGCCCAGACAAAGCCGGGGTCCCACCCGCTCCCCATCACGGCTTAAAGAGACCCCTCAGGCACAGAGCCGGGTGTGGCCCGAACAACGAAGACAATTATCATTATTATTTTAGTCACACCAGCGATGCACAGGAGTTACTCCTGGCTCTGCACTCGGGAATGATTCCTGGCGGTGCTCAGGACCATATGGAGTGCTGGGAATCGAACCTGGGTCGGCCCAAATGCCCTCCCCACTGTGCCATCGCTCCGGCCCCACAAAAACAATTCTTAAAATTAAAAAGTTTTAAAAAGCAGAAAGAAAAGGGTCAGCAGAAGGTATAAAACATCGTCTGTGAAGCGCAGGGCTGCTCCCCCCCTCCCACCCTCACCCGATGTCCCGCAGGGCGTCCTACCTTTTCAGTAGAAAGGTTGGTTTCAGTATCAAGTTTCTTCTGCGTGAAAACAATGGTAAACACAGCGTGGGAACGGCTACTGGTTTCATTCATGTTGGTGGCTGCCACGGTCCTACACAAACAAGATGACCACAGGACAGGGATGTTGGGATGAGAATTAAGACCGGCTGCCAAGTTCTCGCCCTAAGCGTGGCTTATGGCTTATCCGCCGACTGGGAGACCATTACCCCAGGCTGACCGTGGAGCTTATGCGTGAGCCTGTCCTACCCCCATCCCAAGGGCATGGAGGCGTCTCATTTTCATTCCCTTTCGTTCTTATTCTTTGCCACGTGTGCACTCATCCCAGAACCAATAACCACCATGGGCGCGGCGCCAGGGCATTTTAACAGGACTTGATCGAGAATGGACGGAAAAGCCCCAGAAATGAGCGTGTGTTCCAGCACTATACCACCTGAATGAGCACAGAGTTGGTCGCACCGCATCTCCCCAGGACAGGTCAGAGGGCCTGACGGTGAGGATCTGTCACGGCTCTCGCCTGCTCTCGAAACCTTCAAAGGGCCCCAACACTGGCCCCGTGTGCCCCAGTCGCAGGGCTCCGCTTCCCTCCCTACCTGGCTTTGTTCCCGGCATCCATGAGGTCGGCGATGTCCGTGTAGGAGGTGACGGCGAGCTTGGACAGGTCCTCCACATAGGGGCCGAGGAGCGGGTGCTCGCGGACGCGCAGGTTGCCCTTGTTCTTGGGGTTCAGTAAGTCTCGCACTCTCTCACAGTAGATCTCCATGTAGCTCACCTAGGAACAAACCGTCAGGGCCGTCAGAGGGGCCGGGAACCCGCAGGTGTGGAAGGGATTTGGAAGACTGTCAACTGCCAGCCCTGCTGAGAAACCAGGAGCTTCACGGGGAAACACTGAACGTTGGCCCCGGCCAGCGTTCCTGAAGGCAGCCTGCAGGGTTTCTCGGGAAGCCCAAGTACAGTGTGAACTAACTACCTGAGTCCAGCAGAAACGTCTTTTGCGGATGGCAGAGGTTTCTGGGCCCCTCCCAGCAGTGCTCAGGTCTTACTCCTGGCTCTGTGCTCAGATCACTTCTGAGGGCTTGGGGGCAGATGGGATGCCAGGGACCAAACCCAGGGTTGGCAGCAGGCAAGGCAAGCACTCGACCCACTGCTATCGTGCCGGCGCCCCATCCTCAAATGCCATTTTTAGTAGCAATTTAGTTAGGATTTCTATAGGGGGGCCTCCCACGGTGCGTACGGGTACTGTGGGTTGTTCAGCAGGTATTTTTTTTGGGGGTGGGGGGGTCATACCCATCGATGCTCTGAGATAACTCCTGGCTTTGACTCAGGAATTACTCCTGGCAGTGCTCAGGGGGACTATATGGGATGCTGGAAAATCAAACCTGGATCGGCCGCGTGCAAGGCAAACACCCTCCCCACTATACTACAGCTCTAGCCCTTGTCAGCAGATTGTTTAAATGTGTATCAGGAACTGAGGGAGGCGACAGGCTACTCCGAAAGCTTGGGAACGGCTTCTATGATGTCCAAATCAAGGAACAGTATGAATATTCCTAGGAAGGGGGAGTAAGATTCGGAGAAGCCCGACTGATGACCCAGCTCACTGTGCTAGACTCTGGCGACAGACGTGGCTACCAGGGGGGCCAGTGTCGGTCAGGGCAGAATCCAATGGCCTGCTAACAGCTCTCTCGTGCATATATGGGGGGTGGAGACAGGTGCTAATTCAGCACCACTTCTACTATGGACATTCATGTGTTAGACGACAGTTTTAGACCTGTGTGTATAGATATGTAATAAACATACTTAAACTGTACCTATTGGGATGGAGTGATAGCACAGCGGGGAGGGCGTTTGCCTTGCACGCGGCCGACCTGGGTTTGATTCCCAGCATCCCATATGGTACCCCGAGCACCGCCAGGAGTAATTCCTGAGTGCAGAGCCAGGAGTAACCCCTGTGCATCGCCGGGTGTGACCCAAAAAGCCAAAAAAAAAAACCTGTACTTATCAACAATCACTAAAATTACATTGATTTTTTTTTAATTATTTTCATTTTTTTAGGACTACACCTGGGAATGCTCAGGGCTTATTCCTGGCTTTGTGCTCAGGGATCACTCTGGTGGGGCTTGGGGGCTCCCTCTGGGGTGCCAAGGATAGAACCCATGCAAGGCAATCACCCTACCCACTGTCCTCTCTCTCCAGTCCCCAAAACTAGTATTATTTTATATTATCAACAGAACAAAAAAAAATTGCAATCTGAAAATGTAAACATACACATGTATAATTTAGGGTATGTTCAACAATAAGAATTTATACAATTAGGGTCCAGAGAGAGAGCACGGCAGGCAGGGGACAGGATGGATATTACCCCCAGCACACACTGGTCTCCTGGGCACCTCCAGGAGTGATGCCTGAGCACGGCCGGAGATGCCCCCAAAACAAAATTATTCAATTAATTTCTTTTTTTTTCTTTTTTGCTTTTTGAGTCACACCCAGCGATATACAGGGGTTACTCCTGCTCTGTACGCAGGAATTACTCCTGGTGGTGCTCAGGGGACCATATGGGAAGCTGGGAATCGAACATGGGTTGGCCGCGTGCAAGGCAAATGCCCTCCCTACCCACTAGTGCTATTGCTCCAGCAGTTCAAATTCATTTCTAAGGTACCAGATCGTCTCCTGGGCACCTCCAGGAGTGCTACCTGAACACAGCTGGATATGCCCGCAAGACAAAATTATCAAATTAACTTCTCAGGCACTTTTTTCCTTCTCAAAGTGACACAGATTGAAAAGCACAAACGCAGGGTCAGAGAGAGCGCAGAAGGCGAGACGCTGGCCTGGCACGAGGCCACGGAGGGTCTGGTCCCCGGCACCCTAGGAGATGCCCTGGGCCGCTAGGAGAGATCCCTGAGCGCAGAGCCAGGAGTAAGCCCTGAGCATGGCCAGGTGTGGCCCCCTCAACCAAAAATAAACAAATGAAAACGACTCAGTGCTGGAGAGGGTCACAGCACCCAGCCAGCCATGCCCGCGGGATTGAAACCTGGTGCGTCTGTCCCATAAAAGGCGATTTGGCAAGTCCCAGGTTTATTTGGCAACAAAGTAACAGAAAAGCCTCTGACTTAGAAACAGGACTTAACTGGCAACACTATTCTTTTAAACTCAAACAGAGAAACCGCGGGAAAACACCGAACTGGAGGGACAGCCACAGAACCTGGAGGTCCAGGGAGAGCCGCCCCCAGGTCCAGGTCTTCACTCACCTCTACGGAGTAAGACATCTCTTCATTGCAGTTGTCGTTGATCTTCTCAAAGAGCTCTTCACATAACTACAGGAGCAGAAGGAAAGCGGGAGTCAGAGGGGCAGCACAGGGAGAGCAGCAAGACCATCCCTTTCTTTCTCCCTATATGAGCGACATCCATGCTGACACCCTGAGTAAACGTCTAACACATTCTCCTCATTGAATTTTAATTCTCTCCCCTCTAACGGCAGAATTCCGATGTTTCCTCAGGAAGAAAGACTCATTTAGTAGCCAGAACCTGGAAAAAAGCCCAGTGTCCCAGGACAGACGACTGGTTAAAGAAACTCTGGTATATCCATACAATGGAATACTATGCAGCTGTTAGAAGAGAGGAAATCACGAAATCTGTCTAAATTTGCATGAAGTGGATGGACATGGAGAGTATCATGCTGAGTGAAATGAGTCAGAAAGAGAGAGACATTGATCACTGTATAACTGAAATCCAAGCACAAAAATTTGTAAGTCTACAACTGTATCTCATGGTGTTTCACTAATAATAATAATTTTTTTTTCTTTTTTCTTTTTGGGTCACACCCGGCAATACACAGGGGTTAATCCTAGCTCATGCACTCAGGAACTACCCCTGGTGGTGCCCGGGGGACCATATGAGATGCTGGGAATCGAACCCGGGTCGGCCGCGTGCAAGGCAAATGCCCTACCCACTGTGCTATCACTCCAGTCCCACTAATAAAAATTTAAAAAAATAAAATAAAACAAAGAGAGAGAGAGACAGACATAGAAGGACTGCACTCATTTGTGAAATATAAAATAACATAATAGGAGACTAACACCTAAGGACAGTAGAGATAAGGGTGAGGAGGACTGTGGCACAGCTTGTAAACCTGCCTCACGTACTGGGGGGAAAAGCAGCTGGGAGAGAAAAGGGCCCACTAAGTAAATGATGCTTGGAGGGTTCACTCGGGACGGGAGATGCACGCTGAAAGTGGATTATGGACCAAACAGGATGGCCTCTTTGTACCTGTATTGCAAACCATAACACCCAAAATGAGAGAGAGAAAGAGAAAGAGGGAATGAACCTGTCATGGAGGCAGGGGGGTAGGAAGGGGTGGGGGTGGTAGGAGGGATACTGGAAACATTGGTAATAGAGAATGGGCACAGGTGGAGGATGGGTGCTCCATCATTGTAGGACTAAAATGTAATCACGAAAATTTGTAAGTCTGTAACTGTACCTCATGGTGACTGGAAGGAAGGGAGGAAGGAAGGAAGGAAGGAAGGAAGGAAGGAAGGAAGGAAGGAAGGAAGGAAGGAAGGAAGACACATTTAGGAATGGGGAATTGTGTGTTTCGGTAGTTGCTATTGGCAAACGTATGTGAATTCGACTGTTCATACTATGGAGTCCAATTCTACTACCAGGATTTTCAAGGAGGGTGGACCACCCCCATCCCCTGCCCTGCAGCTCTCAGGGGTTCCTCTGGCTCTATGCTCAGGGATCACTCCTGGTGGGCTTGGGGGACCATGTGGGATGCTAGAGATTGAACCCGGGTCAGCCTGGTGCAAGGCAAGCACCTTACCCCCATACTATGGCTCCGGCCCCTAACCTATCAGTATTGATTACTACGTAGGGCACTGCCAGGGGTGACCTCTGAGCACAGAGGCAGGAGAAAGCCCTGAGAACCACCGGGGGTGGGAGGGAGGGAGGGAGAGAGGAAGGAAGGAGGAAAGATAGAAAAGAAAAGGAAGAAAAACCTCATACTGTTCAAGTTTAAATTGATAAAAGTTGGGCTAGAGCAACAGTACAGCCGGGAAGGCGTCTGCCTTGCACACGGCCAAGATGGGTTTGATCCACGGCATCCCATATGGTTCCTGAGTGGAGAGCCAGGAGTGACCCCTGAGCATTGCCGGGTGTGACCCAAAAAGCAAAAAACTGTAACTAAAACAAAAAACAAAACCCCACAAATAAATTGGTAGAAGTATAAATAAGATAACTGAAGGGAAAAAATTACACTCTACGTACAGAATCTGGAGAAAAATTGGAACATTTTTCTAAAATAAAACATTAGGAGGGGGCGGAGCGACAGGACAGCAGGTAGGGCACCTGTCTTTCATGCGGCAGACTTGGGCTCAACCCCTAGCATCCTAAGTGGTCTGCCACCAGGAGTGATTCCTGAGTGCAGAGCCAGGAAAAAACCCTGAGCATCGCCAGGTGAGCCCCGAAAGACAAAATGAGATAAAATGAAATAATATAAAACTAAAAACAAAAAACACGTTTAAAAAATTAGGGACCGTTCCTAGAGTTCAAAAGAGAAATTATTCCATAAGCTATCACAATACTAACAATAAGCTTGATTAACTGTCCAAAAAAGAAAATACCGTGATGGTATAAGAAGCAAAACCCTTAGAGAGCCACATTCCCATCTTGGCATGACAGGCAGTGCCCACGTCAGCTCTCCCCACGGACTCCGTGGTCCTCGGGGAGGAAGCGTCAACGCATGGATCTTTGTTCTTGAACATACTAGGCCCTGAACACAAGTTTGCTAACTAAGGAGAAAACCATCAAAGCAACGGAGATCACAAGCAGGGCTGTTCTCACCTGTGGAATGATGCCCGCCTGGCTCTCCTCCTGTTTGCCCATCATGGTGTAAGATTTCCCAGCACCAGTTTGGCCATAGGCAAAAATACAGACATTGTAGCCCTCGAAGGCATGTAAGAGCATCTCCTTCCCGATGTCATTGTACACACGGTTCTGAGAGGCGAAGCAGGGGTCTTCAGGCTACAAAGAGTACAAAGGAAAATCAATGTCAGTTTCCTTCTATTCTTCCTGATGCTATCTGATTAGCTCTAGGATCAATGAAAGGATCTGGGATTAGCCATCACCTAAAATGTGTAGTCACATTAAAGGCCCTTCAAAGTCTAGTGTTCCCCACTAAACATACACACACACACCCTGGGCGCCATCAGAGTAATCAGATTGGCAATACAAAGAAGCAGTATATTTTTTAAATTACTTATTATAAAAACTGGAAGAAAAATAAATTATGTACCATGGTTTTATTTTTCATAACCATAAAAGTATTATTCTTTCATTCATAGGGAGCTCCAAGAGGAGCAAACGTGGTGAGAAAGAGAACTGAAAGAAAAAGAAAACGGGAAAAAAAAAAACCAGTAACGGGGACTGGAGTGATAGTACAGCAGGTCGGGAGTTTGCCTGGCACTCCGCTGACCCGGTTCAATCCCCGCACCCCATGGGGTCTCCCAAGCCCCACCAGGAGTGACTTCCGGAAGTAAACCCTGATCACCACCAGGTAAGGCCCCCAAACTAAAACAAACAGAAAAATGAGAACGAAGAGATCAAGGTCAAGGCCATACACAGAACTGCTTCCGGAACTGTGCCAGGGTTCTTGCTATTTTGTTATTTTGCAAGAAACAGCATCAGAATGCAATTCCTTTCCCTGATCCTTTCCTGGGTAGTGAGGCTTGGTCAATAGCTCAAAACACTACCACTTCAAGGCAAAACAGAAGAAAACAAACCCAAACACCTAACCCAGAGACAGAGAAACAGAAGGCAGATCCCTGGGAGGCTGGAGCTTGGTGGCCACCACTGGCCCATGTGCTGTCCAGCCCATGTCCTGCAGGCCCCACAGCGCCAGTCAGGCCTTTCAGGGTCCTGTCCACTCACCGAGGTGTGAGACCAGTAGGAATAGTCAAAGCTGAAGGACTTTGGAGCCTCTTTTGGGTTCTTTGGGTTAATAATACCTAGAAGATAAAAAATGTTTTAATTTTTTTAAGTCAGCTACACGGTCTGTAGTTCAATATGACATTACAGTGTAAGTTCATAACATCCAAATCAGTGAACTCATGTCACCAAAATAGAAAAGGGAAATGAGAAATAATAACCACATTTTAAGTCGGAGACCTAGCGTGCAGAAGTGTTCAAGAATTAATCGACAGCATTTAATGGCGCCACCAGGATTTAAGGGACAGCGTGGCCCACAGTAAGCACTGAGCAAGTACTTGGTTTCGGAATCCTTGGAAACCGAATCGTCAAGACTTGGAAATGGAACAAGTGACTGTATTTCCAGGTGCTTCACAAGGCTTGAAAACAAGAATGAGAAAAATTGCTGAATTAATTCGACTAGCATTTGAAACAAACAATGAGGAATTCACTGGAATGTCTAGTTCTGAGCCACACAGTTCCTAAGATTCTAAGAATACAGTTTTCTAATGCTGGGGTGTGTGTGTGTGTGTGTGTGTGTGTGTGTGTGTGTGTGTGTAAATACAGTTTTCTAATGCTGGTGTGTGTGTCTGTGTATGTAAATACAGTTTCCTAATGCTGTGTGTGTGTGTGTGTGTGTGTGTGTAGTTTTCTAATCCCAGGGTATGTGTGTGTGTGAACAGTTTCCTAATGCGGTGTGTGTGAAGTTCCCCCCTCCTGCACGGTTACCCACAATGCCCTGCAGGCACCGACTGGGGGGGGGGGGGGGCCCATGCTCCGGCACGCAGAGCTTTGATTCCTCGTGTTTCACATGAAACAGAATCTTTCAGACATGTGGTCAGAGCCCACCACACCAGCCAACCACTTCTCCAAAGCGGAGCCACGTCCCAGGCGATCAGTGAGATCAGGCTTAAAAAATAAATCTGTCCCGGGCAGCTGCTGCTCAGGGCACAACTAGCAACGGTTGCTACGGCGCCCAGTGCTCCCTCCCCCTCCCGCTGGGGAGGGCGACTGCGTCAGTCCCCCGACTCGAGCGCTGACAGAGTCAACCAGGCCCACACACAGAGCACACGACCAGGGTGTGCGGGAACCCCAGCACGGAGGGCCCCACGCACACGCACGCACGGAGTTGGGCTCTGCTCCTTGGATTCATCTGTTCAATCTCCCAACGGCTCAGTAAGGCAGACAGGCTTCCCAGGGGCAAAGGCCCCTTCGAAGAAACAGGCTAAAGAACTGGCCAGGGGCTGGAGAGCGGGTAAGAGGTAGAATCAGCGTGTGAACCCAGCCAGGCCCGTCCCTGACCGTCCCTGACTGTCCCTGACCGTCCCTGACCGTTGCCAAGGCGAGTAGCAAGCACCTCCATGGAGAGAGGCTTGAGGACGGCCACTAAGGATGCCGCAGCCCCAGACGGCTGAACTCGTCTTATCACGGAGCACCAGGGGCTCCTGAGGTTTCTCCAGGCGCCTGATTCGGCCAAGGAAGTCGAAATCCCTGCCAGACAGACGCCACGTTTCAGCAGCCCAGCAACAGGGCAGCCACGAGACAGAAACTCTCTCTGCTCAGGGGTCCTCACCAAAGGCACGGGTGAAGAAGCGCCAGAAAGGAACAGTTTTCTGTTTGGTCTATGGGCTGGCCTGGGCGCCACACCCAGCAGTGCTCAGCGCTGACTCCTGAGTCTGTGCTCAGGGATCACTCCTGGCAGCACGTGGGGGACCATACTCAGAGCCAAGGATCAAATTGGGGGTCCTGGACTATTCCGCCAGCCCTGCTAGAACAGCTTTAAGCAGATTCCATCCCACATCCATGGTTCTACCAAGAACTTGAGAAAGCTACTCTGTGGGCCAGAGCAACAGCACAGAGGGTGGGCTCCTGCCTGGATACAGTCGGATCAGGTTCGATCCCCGGCACCCCATTACGGCCCCCGGAGCCTCCCAGGAGTGATCCCTGAACACAGAGCGAGGAGGAAGACCTGAACACCACAGGGACAGAGCAAGGAACGAGGGAAGGGGAGAGGAAGGGAGGGAGCGACTCTCAAATTCTACCCCTTTGTTCTCTCTTCCTTGTAAAGAAAAACTACCTCAACCAGCAACTTTCTGGATAAAACTCATCCCTCTTCTTGAACAGGGTCTTCTCCCGGATCTTTGCAACTTCTGACACGAAATCAATTTTAACTTCTTTCTTGTTTTCTAAATAATGGCCTCTAGACAACAAAAGATTTTCAACAAGAGATCCAAAATATCAAGTCACTTGTATCATTATGTCCAACTAGATCCACAACACTTAAAGGATTTTCGTTTCCTAAGTGAATTTTCGTTTCCTAAGTGAAAGGAATTTGTAATGACAGAAAGGCAAAATGTCATACTGCCGTCGCAGCCTTTGGAGGAAGGCAAAGGCAGAAAGGCCAGAGAGGAGGCTGGTTTCAGGTTTGGCAGCAAGCAGGAGGATTTTAATTTTATTCTTTATATTTATATGCAAATTGTGTTATCTTAAAGGAATCCTAAGAAATGCTGAAGCTCTAGAACTCTCTGGAGATGGAAAAAAAAAATCCTGAGAATAAAAGAATTAACGAGTCTGTGGAAGCAGCTAGTCCTGCCACAGACGATGAAATAATGCTTTCAGATACGCCCAAGGATTTCTTTCCTAAATTAGTAACAGTTAACTAACTTGTACTTCTTTAACCCAACTAAGAAACACAATGTTTCCAGTTCTTCATAGAAGGGGAAGGAACCGGCCATAAAAATGTAATGAAAAGAATCCAGCAGGGCGGGCATTTTGCCTGGTGTACAGTAGATCTTGGCACAATCCTTGGTATCCCCAGGGTCCCCCAAGCACCAACAGGAGTGAGTCCTGAGCACTGAGCCAGGAGTCAGCCCTGAGCTTCGCTGGCTGTGACCTGAAACCAACAACAAAGATCCATATATGCATCTATATGTGTATCTCTCTATACACACACGTGCAGGTTTGGAAACAAAGGGCCAGCACCAATATGTATTTATGGACTTTGTTTCACATTCTAAATGGATGAGGAACAATTCAATACATTTTCAGACTTTTGTGTGTGTGATATTGGGCATTTTTTGCATTTTTGTGTCTTTTTTTTTATCCCCTTTGTGGGTCACACCTGGCAATACACAGAGGTTACTCCTGGCTCTGCACTCATGAATTGCTCCTGGCTGTGCTCGGGGGACCTTGTGGGATGCTGGGAATTGAACCCAGGTCGGCCACATACAAGGCAAACGCCCTCCCCGCTGTAGCTCCAGCCCCTTAACAGGTATTTTACATGAGTCATAAAGCAAAAGACAAAATTACTGGATAGTTTCGCTTGTGTGAGATGCAAATAACCCAAGAAAACGAACGATCAGAGCCCAAGAGAAAGAACTTGCAGATCCTGCAGAACCCTGGCAGTTACGGGAGACGGGGGGGAAGGATCCATCTGATAAAGGGGTCCTAGAATTCTGGGGGTGGGGGATGAGGCTCACTCTCAAAATTTAGTCCTATAAACCAGTGAGACTTAATCTAATTTTTCCAAGTCTGCCGGAGTTCGTGGCGGTGACAAGGTGTGGCCTCCGGCCTAACCACGCTCTTCTGCTAGCCACGTCCCAGCTCTGACATCAGAATAATCTGATTTTTAAAAACCGTGGCATCTTGTTTGAAACTCCAATGTGTGTTGTTGGCTGCAATACTCATATCCCATAGTCTTTAAACTAAAGCCTGAAAACTTGACTAACAGATAAAACAGGCTTAAGAGTGAAGTTTCTAGTTCTCAAAAGCCAAGCGCTTAAGAAATCGGGCCCGTTTCTAGAGCTCTACTTACCTTATGGGTCTGTCTGCTTCGTCTGCATGGGGGCCATGAGCCCTGAGCACCCCGCAAAAAAAAGAGAGAGAGAGAGAAAAGGAAAAAGGAACAACGCAGGGCAGATGTGTGCAATACAAAATATACATTGCATGCCCGCATATTTGACTGATTCTCACAGAAGGAACTAGATCCACTCTGCACACTGGCTCTTAAAAACGGCAAACCCCATGTGGAACTGCTACGCTCTTTCTGAGAAGCACGTGATAGTTTCCATGCTCATGTGAGCTTCCAGCATGGCCTGCCTCCCGGGGTCAGGCTCCACTGGACAAACAGTCCCAGTTCCTCCGGGCATTTGCACGGGTGGGGGCGCGGGGGGGGGGGGGGGTCCTGCAGTGGTGCACTGGGAACAGTGCTCAGCCTGGCAGGGTGGCCTGAAGGTCCAGCGCTGGGATCCAGCAGTGCTGGTGCTGCGGGGCGGAACTGGGTGGGGTTCCAGGCTGGGATTCAGGGCCTCTGGCCCCCCAAGTTCCTGCCCAGTCCCTCCTGCTTCATAACTGTCTTAAATGCTGTAGATGTCACACTGCTTGTTTTTTTTTTTTTGCTTTTAGGGTCACACCCAGCAATGCACAAGGGTTACTTCTGGCTCTGCACTCAGGAATTACCCCTGGCGGTGCTCGAGGGACCATATGTGATGCTGGGGATCAAACCCAGGTTGGCCAAGTGCAAGGCATCCCCCCGCCCCCACACACACGCACTGGTTATCTCCTATAAAGTTACCATCCTGGCAATACTCAGCTATTCCCAGGGGTGTTCGGGGGCATGAGGTGCCAGGTACTGTGCTTGGGGCTCCCCCATGCAAAGCCCTCACTCACCTCCTCACACACTTGTAAACGCCCTGAGTCGTCAGGGTTTCTCAGGACGTTCAATCTGCTCCAGACCTGAACCCCCATCACAGATGACCTTTGACCTCTCCCCTTCGCCACCTGTCCCCTCTGTGGGCAACACTGCCCAAACGCACTCAGAGCCCCTCAGCTTCACAGCCTCTCGCCGCCACCTTCCCGCTCCCTGTCCAAGGCCGCTCTCACTTGGGCAGCTTCAGGAGGTCCCTGAGGGCCCCCCACGTGCCCCGCAGGCCTCCTCAGGTGCTGAGATGGACGCGCATCCGGCCCCTCATGCCCCCTACAAAGTGCCCCTCAGATGCGAGCAAACCCCCCGGGCCTCAGGAACTGCCTCCCAGCCTGGCTC